CAATTTGTTTGCAGTTTAGAGGTTTTTCCTCACTTATTGGTCATGAAGATTTTGCCCAAATACCGAGTCAGGATTCTGACGATAGTGTGCCTGCAATGAGCATAGAGAACATCAATCTCATTAAATTGCCCTTTGCTTGCACACAGTCGGTTACATTGCAAGTTTAGTAGGTCTCAGTGCCGAAATTGAGCAGCAGGATGGAGCAGCCTAACTTCGACAACTTGTTACTTTTTGCCATATCCGCCAATGGTTGTGGCTGCCTAGTGTATCTCGATGGGCGTCGATCGTGGTCGACTTTAAACATTAGTACGATCTCCTCCGTACTAACTTGAGCCGTGTTCAAATTTCTTCAGAGGTCTCATGGATATATCCATTTAGATACGTCTTACCTATGCACTGCGCGCAGTGTTGTGGTAAACCAGAGGCAAACGTCAACATGTGCCCCCTGTAGAAAGTGCTGTTCGAGCGAATTGTGACAAAAACTTTCTTCCCAGTCTTTTATCATACCGTATGCGGATTTGCCTATACTCTATAGGACATTTCCTACTCATAGTCTGGTCATTTATAGCTCGCTAACTCTCTTTGATAGTCATGCCAGCATTTTCGTACTAACAGCACCCCCTTTCCGTTCTGGGCATGACAGACAAGAAATAACTAGAGAGATATCTTGCCACAGAAAAAGGATCTTCCTCACCCGGGGACCTCTGTTTAAGAACTGGCGCAACGATAATTACACGAGCGATCCGGGTGGGTGGGGGTATGCCGTCGAAGCATTGCGCCTATACCGAACTGTGGGCCAGCTCTAATTTGCGTCATTTTTCACGTCTTGCTGACGAGAAAAAGACAGCTTCCTAAACTTTGAGCCGTTGCCCACTGTCAGCAGTGACCACTGAACTCCCATTCATACCGAATAAAACGGCCAAATGAGGTGAGCCGTAAATGCGACGTGACTCCTCCAGAAATTGCAGCGACCAACGACAGCACGAAGGCCCTATCTTTTACGTGAAACGCATGATCAGCACCGTAATCAGTGGTGGCTGTAAATGTGACAAACACTTTATGAGTAATGTGTGCCAGTATGTAATTGAAATGTTGTTTCTTCGTCTGAAAGGTCATTTGCATAACTTTGCACTTGATAATAAGGAATTGGAATGCACATTGTGCTCATAACGTAATGCAGAATATTTTTTAAAATAGTGAAAAAAATTTGCAGGTGCATTTTTTGGCTTAAAAAGATGGTATTCTATGGATATTGGAAGATTATAGAGGTGTTTATATTAAACATCGGCGACAGAGGAAAGTGCATAAAGACCATATTGAAAATAATTGGAAAGCACTGCAACATGCCATCAAACGGTCGGAAGAGTCCTTTTTTCAGATCTTTCGTTTATGAGAAATAAGCAAAGTCAAGTTCTCGTTAACTGAGACTACAGAGTAACTCGGGATCATGAAGCCCGGAACCAGGTTATTTGAAGTAACAGAGTGCAGTATAAATGATTGCGGTGAGGCCTTTTCCCTCAGATCAGACTCTACAATCCGTCACACAATCCTGTGAAGCAAGGATATACTAAACTGGAAGGATTATCAGTTGCCATCCAGTACACTGATTGCGGTAACTGCTTCCCCAGGTATGCGGGGCGAAGCAAATCGTAAAGTGGCGACACGAATAGGGAAACGAGAGGCCACAGCGGGGCGCGGCGACCAAGTATTGAAAACCTTTTGCCTTATGCAATTAATGCGTAGGCTTTGGTAACTCCTTAGAATATTTAGGTAGGTACCGTGCATGCGACTTTAAAAATGGTACCATGTGCATACGGTTCATGTCAGAATCGAACACCAGCAACTACTGCGACCAAGAGCTCACGTTTGTCAAAATGATTCGTAGCAGTGAGTTTCATTTTGGAGTCGATCAACGGAGGCCGACTAACAATGACTGTCAAACCTGTAGGCAGCACGCACGAGGTGAGCAGTGCTGGCCAACATTCCCAGGAGGAAACACGCAAAGGTTTAGATGGGGGAATCCCCACAGGCCCCATTGCAGGCTATGGACGTATTTACAACATCATTTCGAAAGTTGGGAAGGCACCTTTTCTTCTTTTTGTACTTGCAGAAAACATGCACACCCATTCGCAAATCGGTGCACTTGAATTCCTCATATAGTCAAATGTGGGATCTTTTTGGAATCGAAATATGATGCAAGGAGAATCAGGTTTAGGGAAAAACCACATGTTAGAGGTCGAGAAGCTGCGGATTCTTTCGCATAAATTTGCTTATTGTTATAGTTGAACAATCAGAATTATTTTTGAAATTTGGCAGGTTCTGTTATAATGACATTTATTTTATTCCGTCCTCATGAGAGTCAGATGAAAAAGTCTTTTCTATGACAATGTCACCAATCTGATAGCATTATGGAAGCAATCCACAAAAGGAAATTTGCACTCCACTCTCTGTCACTAGTACAGCCAATCATCAGTACTTGGAGTTCCCGTCTTCAGCATAGATATGCATTCAAGTAGGCTAGAGTTACAAACTACAGCTTCGTCATATGCATGTTTTATCTTGCATATCCGTCCTGAAAGACGTCTGCTTGTGATATGAGATTATAACAGAGGCCATATTATGATAAAAGCGAGCTTTCGCACTCTGCGATATTTTCTGGAATTAAGTTTAGGCATCACTGGACAGAAAACGTATGGATGAAGGTGATTTGCCGTATACGACTGTCCGGCCATCGCGAAAGATGACGTTCAAGGAGTGAACGCAAAGAATGGCTTGCACGTGAATTAGTTTGTAGCGAGGCAGAATTGCGCAACACCTACTGCACTCTTGCCCCCCAACCCGCATCGATTCGGTGGCCAGACAGTGTCAGGACTGGCGGAGGTAGACTTGGGTACTATAGCTTACAAGACCAAACAACCCGTTCACACGTACCACACATGACCGTGTCTCCTTATATTGTACCAGATTTTCACAAAAAAGGAGTGCCTCGGATCCTCATCTAAGTGAAAGTCCATTGATGTCACATTGGGGAGGAGTCACCGAGTGTGAATCTCAGTCATCTAGCCCGCCACTCCACAGGTACCATAAAGATCGAGTTATCCCGTCAGCTGCCAGCCTTCTAAGCCACGACTTGTGCGCGTTGTGATCACTTCAAACGGATTCGATTTATTAAAATGGGTGGTGCACTTGTGTGCCGTGAAGATTGAGTTGCCAGTGACGGCTTCATTCGCTTTTCCCTCTTCCATGCACCAGTCGACTGCCCGAACCAGCAAACCAGCTGATGACGGGGTGGGCGCAGCCACTGCCTAAACTTAAAGGTCCGTGTATAATTTGCTTAACAAAAAGGGGACTTAGTGATAAATTCCGCTTCCTTTCGGTGACTCTGGCGCCAAAAAGTCAGGAGTTGCCAAATGGGGCCCCTTGCTTCCTAAATTCTCTCGTTTCCTCTGTTTTAAATCACACCAAGTTGCAGATAATGTATTACATGTTCCTCCATCGAACTGTGTGGAACAACCAATCACTAGTTGCAGAGAAATTGTGCCACTCGACGAGCGTTTAGTAAAAGTTGAGCAAGTTTTCGCTGGACGTGCTTAGAAGCGTAGAACATTAGAACTTCAACCCAAAATGGATGTCGACACGACATTCACCACCTTCTAGATATGTGGAACATTTTTCCCTACAAAAATATTGATATTGTCACCGGTGACATTTAACATGTTGCACTTATGGTGTGATTCATCTTTGATCTCAGACCATTCCACAGGGAATTATGGAGTGATGCTTTAAGGTCCGTGAAAGCGATATTAACTATTTCGTTGTGATTTCAAGCTGGAACATGGACATGGCGTCTGGCTTTTGAGCTCTGATCTATAGCCCAAACAGGTGGCCGCAAAACGAAGCACACCAGTAAACGACCCCGACGGATCTTAATAAAAATTATTCTTATTATTATTATTAGAAAAACACATGAAAACTGGGACAGTAATTTCAACTTCAATAACTGCATTAGGTCAGATATATTCGAAACTCGGCTTGCTAGTTTAAATTTTATGACCTACGTGCAGAGAACTGACTAGGATAACTGCAGGGAAGACTGCATTTCTGAATGGCCTTTGCAAAACTTCACTTCCCTTGAAAACTGTGTATTTACCAAATGCTCCGGAAACTGAGATATCGTTGGCCAAATGCAAAAATCCGCCGTAGTATCTGCCACGGCACACATGGTAGAAATAACTTTCAGAATATCCTATTCGCGGTAGATGGGGCTAGTGTCAGGACTCCAAAAAATTTACAGCATGAACGTATCTAAACATGAAATCGGTTAAACCTTTTCACGTACTTTTCTCCCCCTTATGAAATTTCTTGTGAAAAACAGTAACTGTTCATAAGATAAGTCTAAGGTCCTGTTTGTTTCAACAATTTATTTTAGATTTTGCTGCTGGACTAATTTTTCTTTTAAATACATAAACCAGTCACCGACTCGGTTTTCCATGCTCTTGCAAACTGGTTGATCAGAACTCTGGGATGCTTTCTGTTGGTAATAAAAGTACTTGTAAAAGAATTTAGATATTTGAACACTCGACTAGAATTCTTAATCTACTTTTGGTACCTCCTCCCGAAGGTTCATTCTATTAAAATTTCAACAGCGCTTCCCTCGCGGATCGGTAATTCAGGCGCATTTTCAAAAACGCAGCATCCGATATGTTACTCTTAACCATACATTGATAATTTGGCCACGCCTACTGGAATGTCAGGTGTGAAATATTGCTTCAAGGTTTCCATGCCAACGACGACATTTCCATTTCACTAATGTCGTTTTCAACAACAGTGGGCTAACGAATGTCGCATGATTAACCAATAGCATCACGAGTCCCAGCCATGACTGCGGATTGAAAGTTCGGATGCTAATATTTACTATTAGCAACAAGGTTTTCAAGTGCACAACTGCATCCATGGAGCGCTTCGAGGTTTTCGGAATATTTTTCAGCTACGCAATCTTGATGCTCACCCTTCTCCTTGTAATCGCTGCCGTCCGGAAATACATTTTAAAACAGGTAAGCATACTGAGCAACAACAAGCCTTACAGCCATTTATCTTGAATGTCACTATAAAAATGACCTAAATTCAGGCAAATTTGTGAAGGAAACATTGAAGCGACTGAGCTGCTTGTAGCCTTAAGAGATCTTAGAGGTTGACTCTGATTAAAGACCATGAACGATATAAAATGCACTTCCAAAAGTAGAATAGGTTGTCTGTAATTGAAGCTTGCAAACTACATACTGTTATCGCCGCTGCGTTTTGCCTTAAACTGTTGTAGTAAGCCCAACTATTATTAACGTGTGCACATTACATACAGTCCATATTAAAGCTCGAAGTGCGTGCACTGAATAATAGCCTTTTCTTTGCACGATGTGGGTTAAAAATACACGGCCTGCCCCGGATGGCTCAGGGGAGAAACTGCGGCAACTGCTACGGCAGGAATTCTGTTTATGTCTTGAAGTCGGAAAATTAAGCAAAACTGGTGAATATATTCGAAGTAACTGTGGACCTAAACTAATTTTATTAAAAAATTTCAGGATCTTCAACGAGAGAAGTTCACGCCCGTGGTTAACTTCGGATCTTTTGCATTTGCTCTGCTTGCTGTAATGACGTGGGTTTCCACACTGTTTCAGAGCAGTGCTATGGGCGTTCAGGTGAGTCAGTTACACACGAATAAATTGCTGCCAGCAAAGACAAGAAAAATGGGAATTACCATTCCAGGCAGGTGTGCCCTAGTCCGGATACGGGCTGGTAAGCCTGGGATTTAAATTGGGGTTAGCTGATTCAAAACTCTGCAACTTTAACTGTGGACCTAAGTCTTGTAGTTTGCGGTTGGGGATATTTAAAAGTACCTGGCAGTGACATTTGTTGATCTATCCTGATTGTGGGACGGAATTGGGCATCCCCGTTTTGCTTCGAGGATCCGGCCTTAAGCCTTCGCAGGCGGTCACAAAACGATAAGCAAACGGTAGTCAAGAAATTTTAGCGACGAAGAAAGTTTGTTACGATACGGCTGGCTGCGGAAGATATGTAAACCGACAGAGAACATTGCAAGAACTGTTAGCTCTCAGTGCAGACTTTTTGAGCATAAATGACATCTCACCGGGCGACCACCTGGGAGAACTGGTGATTCAGATCTTCAGGACAAAACTGCAATATTCCTTTGCTTTTATGACTTTATTATAACCAAAATGGAGTTCAAATGCGCTCGCCTACCTTTCCCTTAATAAATCTGATATGATCTTTATCTTCCACGAACAGGTTACATCGGTGGCTTTTATCCTTGTGCGGGTGGCTTATTGATTTTTCAAAAAGAAATCATTAGATTTTGGTCTTTACAGTTTTCAACAATGTAAAGCAGTTTCCTTGGAACCGAGAACGTTCTTAAAATTACCTCTGCGAAAACGGCGAAAAATTTTAGTCTTTGTTTAAGTAGTGTATGTCCGTATTAGATGCGATGCGAGGCGTCCCTCTTCGTGGAGACCTAGTCCATCATGCGCGACCAGGCGTGTGTGGCAGTCGTAGACGGTCTATTTAGCTCTGCCAGTCACTGCGTTCTAACCCAACTTCGGTCCTCTTGACACGGGGTTCATTTGGGTGAGGAGAGAAAAAGTACAGTAGATTTTGCACAAGTCTACTACCATTATAGATTAAGTCATGCCCAAATCACCGTCCCCGGACCAACCATGCTCTGAGACACGCAGGTGACATCATCGTTCGCGATGGCATAACTATAATTTGACAGGGGAACTCTGCAAGAATTAAACTGTGCGCAAATCCTCAAATACGACAAACAGGATTCACAACCATTTGGCAAAATACTCGTTAGCTGTCCAAAACAATCACCCACAGAGAGGATCAGAAAAGATAGCTGGTTATTCACCCGTACGCGCCGAACTGATTGGCGTGGTCCGATTACAGTCGTCGCCGTCACTCCAGCGACGACAACCGTAATCGAGTTAAGAAAACCGGGTGTATGCGGAAAGGATCATTTAGTACAGACTGTGCATTAATAGCATGTCTAGGCTTTCGACTTTAACATAAGACTTATCTCACAACAATGGGTGTTGTGTTTTGTACGGTGACACAGATTAGTTCATAAAACAAGAACAAATTTGTCGTGTTTAATTAAATTATCATTTTATGCTCTGAAAAAATGAAGTACCTGCATGACTAGCTGACAAAAACTTTACTTGGACGATTGTTATATTTTTTGACCTAAAACTAAAATAAACCTTCTGTGACATCTAAAACAGGGCATCCCTTTGGACTGTAAATTGAGCCGCTATGGTGGATAAGTAAAGCACGCTTTTGCCTCTTCGGGTGAAAAATGTTAATGATAAAAAAGCACCTTAGTACAACAGTATATGTATGAGTTTTTGTTCTCCGCATAATACAGGAATTGCTTTCTAAAAATCATACCGTTCCACCTGGGTGGGAATTTTTGCATAGATAAATTTTTTTTCTTTATGGTCTCTTTCCTCTGAAGAAGGCATAAGTGGCTACAACTTAGCTTTCACCAAATTGTTGAGCAGCGATTAATGCCAATTCAAGCTGCTGAATCTAGTTTGAAAGTAAGTATTAATTGGCATCATGTTTTATGACAATCAGATTATTTAAAAACGAATTTGGGACTGAACATTTGAAAGCATCGATATGAAAAATGTCATGAGAACCGCGTACTCTAATAATGCCTTACCTCGTGCCGTAGAATACTTTCTATTTCACTTGACAATTAAAAATACTTAACTTTACACTTGAAGTCACTATCGCCAAGGCGTTCACTGTTAACGCCAGTACTATCTTATCATTGCAACTAAAGCCTCGTAGCCACAAGGGCAAGACTGTCATCTATCAATGAATATTTTTTCACCCAGACCCCCCAAAATGCTGTGTTATTGAGTTGGCCTGACGACGCGTACCGCCTTTTGATCTGCTTGTTTCGAGCATTATGTCAGCCTTGCAAAACCTTTTAATGGTAGCATTCAGTGACGTGAAGACCCTAAAGCACGAGACCTTGGGCCGCATGAACCTCCTGAACCAAGTTTGCGGTTGTCCATTTATGAGACCTATTGGGTTCTTTACAATAATTTATGACGTAATTGAGAGAACGACAAGAAAAACGAGGGTCCCAAGTCGAAAAATCACATTCGGAGGAGACCGCAGTTTTGACGGCCGAGGTCGGCAAACAGTTTATAAGTGCATCCCCGAAGATGTGATAGGTTGCAATAACTGTTACAGACTGTTTTGATTCATATTAGTTTGCATAAAATCGAAGACTTTCTGGGCTATTCAAGTCTATCTTATTTGGTAGGTGACATGCCATAGAGCATCTATGGTCGACTGAATGCAGGCCGAACTGACATAGGCGTTGCCTTTTTTGTCATAACACTTTCAAGTGTAAAGTTATAAAGTGTGTCCAGATTCATTCTAAGTTTTTGACCCTAATAATGAGCATCAATGACATCTGACTGCAAGCAGTCAAAGTTGATGACACCTTTCATACCTTTTGTCAACCTTTCGGCATCTTAGTGTCACTTTCGAAGGCGGTCTTGTCTCCCTCATTTATGTGCCAGTAACCTTATTCCCAAACCACTCTCTTAAGTCCGCTATTTTTAATGAATGTACAAGACTCAAGAACTGAGGCCTTCCTAAGATGCTATGCGCAAAACCGCATTGTGTACTGAAGGCCCAAATACGTCATGTAAATAATCCGAGTAGCTGGGAAGTCACTGGATATTGCTGGTTAACCTTATTTGCTGTCTGTAATTTTGGGCAGTCATGTACACCTTTCATTTTCAGCAATTATAGCATACAGAAGGTCACATTTTCCACGCTGCTCCCCCGTCATTAACTAAGCAGGGTGGACTCGGAAGACGGAAATAACTCAGCCACCCTGACTGTCACCAACAGACCTGCTCATGCGCCGTTAACAGAATATGTGGAAGAAGTTGTTGGTCGCGTCACCAAGCCAGCAAACCCCCCAGGCACACTTACTAAACGGTCAAGTGATTAAAGTTGAACACGATCAGGTCATAATTACCGTCTCTTCTCATGCATATATTGCTTTCAAAATAACAGGAAACTTACACAGCAAGGAACATTCAGGAGATCCCGACTGAAACCCTTGAAACGTAATCGCTGTGTTCTATTTTGATACAATAATACTAATCATCAAATTGTTGACTACTAATTTCCCCTCCCCCGTCTTTCTACAGTTCGGGATATCCGGACCAGTCTGGTATGCAGCCACAGGCATATGCCCTTCGGCACTCTTCTGCATACTTTTTACGCAATTTCGGAAGAAGGCTCCTGGTGCTCGTACATTCCTCCAAGTCATTTATGCCAGATTTGGCAAGACAGCACACTACACCCTCTGCGCATTCGCCCTTCTCAACAGCTTCTCCATTCTCGCCCTCGTGATAGCCAGTGAGCTCCTTCTCCTTTGTCATCCTATCCCTCCTACCCACAGTTTCGTTAGTTCACATTTTCTGAACTGTGCTCTCTTAGCCTTCTGCCTGAGCGAAACAGAGAGTAAATTAACATTTCTGTTTAGCAAAAAGAGAGACAAATTATAAAGTTAGTGTTTTTGGAAGTTTTTTTCCATACTGCTGCAAAAAAACTACTAACCTTGTGATCACCAGTCCTAGTAGAGGCTCAGAATAACTGCATCTGGGGCCACGTTTATGTCTCCTTCTCTTTGTCCGAGGACATATTAAGGTGATTGGCTTTCTAGGCGGCAAACCGCGTCTTTTTCTCTCTTTCCTACTTAGCTCTTCTCGTAGAACGATAGTTCATTGAGACTACCGAAAAGAGATACTAAAGAATGTGCGAAATTTCTGACGTTTGGGCTTTCTTGTCCTCATCCATCCAGACAGCCTGTTCTTCAAGGTAAACTCCCTGACCTCGCCGTAGGGCGTGCGGGAAAAAAGCTTCTCTGTAGAATAGTCACCTTGTTCTGTAACTTAACAGAAAATAATTTTGCTATGAGAGCAGCTATAGTTACTCATTTGCTATAACAAATGCCAGCAGGAATTTGTAGGCACGATTTGGGCAAGAGTTAATTAAGTTTGGACATAAAATATCAGATAACAATGGGCACTCATAACTTGCAGTCTGCGATAAAACCAGTCAGGGTTTTAGTTACTTGGCGGTTTATTTGCTAACAAAATAGATTGTTACTCTAAGCTACGCTAGCCAAAATTAAATGGTAGGCAAAATTCGAAACATCAGATTATGGTTGGCAGTTTGGTACTAATAAGTTAGTAAGTTCTATTAATTTCTTTCCATTTTAAAAGTGCCCTCTGGTGGACTGCAATTAACTGTCGTTTTAAAGTCAAGATAAATCGCGGAAAAATACATGAAATTTTCCTATTTGGACAAGAGATATAGCTCCTTTTGTAAACCATGGAAAAGCGCTTCTGTTTTTAGTGTTTAAATTTCCAAAATAGTTTAGTCAAATTGACCGTCTAACTACAAAATGACTACCCATCAGTAAAAACTACCATAGGAAAGCAAAAATGTAGATATAGATGCGCATTTACAAAGGACGCAAGTTCATCTACTTGGCCTTTTGCAAAAGACTAAACTACGGAAGGTTAACCAGTTTAAAGCCAATTTTGAAAACAAAAGTGGTTTAAAAGGAACTAAAGAGCGGTTTATAAACCATTTTCAGGCAAGTACCATTGGCTGCTTACCAAGATCACCAGATAGATATACAAACTGATTAACAGTTTAGACATGTAGTGTATCAGCTTACGAGAAACCACATTAGAAATTTCATAGCGTCCGGCGCATAACGTTTAGATTAGTTTTTTTTGCTCTATTTTATATTTTAAAAGCCCCTTCTCATATTGGCTTATGTAGATGGAAGCAAAGTCTTTGCTGGTATAACCAATCAGATTTCATTTGAATTGGTCTGGATCATAACTGTGATTGTTGCGGGCATCTGTGCCAGCATCGGCAACGTGCGGCAAATTGTACCAACCTGTGTCTGCGTCTCCGGTTTTCTTTTGATGAGCACGATGGCCATCACGATTGACACCTTCTTTATGAGCTCCAATCCTCTGCTCGGTGAGTTTCGAAGAGTAATATTAGATGAAACTGTACGATGAATATTTGGCGCATAGCATGTCGAATTAAACTTCAAGTGCAGGCGCCGTGGTGAAAAGTTTGCAAAGTCAGCCCTCATTGTGAATGAGAGGAATACTAGTCTCAAATAAGGTTACCCACTGCATCAGAGAAATATGGTCCTATGAAGATATGAAACCCAAACGTACCCCTGTTTCTTGCCAGTATGTTAAGACGGGATGGTCAGATTTCTCCTTCGATTTACGTCACTTCGTTTCAGAGAATCACTTACGTGAGAATATTTAACGGACATACTAGTAATAATGAGCAAAGGCGGGCAAACCTCTTTAAATTCTGCCCACTTCCGTTTAAGTTACCAGGATGTAACCGGTCGGTACAATAGCCTCATAGATAAGAAAGGGGGAAAATGCTAATATTCTGACCTGCTTTCACAGGTCTTCTTCTGCAGAATCCAGCACGACAAGTTCACCGATGTTAACACCTCCGCAGAAAACGTCACATCAGAAATTCATTCCCACTATTTAGGAAAGCGGAATAGGGCAAAACGTTAACGATTAACTCATAATACACTGTTAGAAGTTCCAAAATCTCGTAGACCGTTTTAAAATATGGGGAAATGTAATTTATGCTAAAAGAGATAGTTGCATAACAAGTTTTCATCTTCCAAGACTTGTGAATATCCCCATGTTGCACATGCAATGTCAAACGGGCGGACGTACATTTTCACTAATTCCTCATCAGGCCGATACAATTACATGAAGAATGGAGTTGTAAATCGCGGGCAGGGTTTATAAACGTCTCAGAGGTTATTCGCACTCCTATTTCCCACGCTACCAGCACGACGAGGTCGGCGTGTCGAGGTCACGGCTCATATCTTCATTCTCCATGTGATTTTATTAGTCTGATAATGTATTGCTGAGAACATATGTTTGCCAATTTGACTTTCTAACATTCTCATCTATTTAAAATCAGATTTGCTGACTCCTACGCACATATAAAGTATTTGCTGTGCATTAAGTAGGTGAAGTGTTTGTCATGAAATTAGGCGTATTACAAGTAAATATCACTCCTCTATCAAATTCTCTTGTATGTGCACAGAGGATTTATTTTGATATATTATAGGAAACACACGACTCTGGGCGGATCAGTTTTGCACGGGCTTGAGGGCATCAGCATCAGAATAGGGAATATTATGATATCTGAATAAGTTCGCGGAAATTCTCTGGACTGGGAAGAATGTAATCAAGAGGAGAATGCTAGAAAGGCCACGCTTATTTGCTTTGTTAAAATTCCACTAGCTCGGTTTCATCCACTATATGGCTTTCATCGTTCCACATACATGACTCTACTTAGTAACTAGTTTTTTTGCTTAGACATGGACGAGAATTACTAGTCGCGTTTTCATATGATAATGTTTGGCATACTCATAGTAAGAACTTAATGTAATGCTTTTGAAAATATGGGGCATGGCAAACTGTTAAGCTAACTGCTTTCAAACAAAGTTTTTTTGCTATTTGAGCTACAGTTAATTTACTTTTTGTCCTACATGCAAAGGTTCCGTTGATAAAATCTACCAACCACTAGACGAGCATTCGAGCAATCCGGCGAACAATGGACCCAATCGACTTACATTTAGGACTGCCAGTCCCGTGCAAAGTGCATTGGCTAAATTTATAAGTAAGCATGTACATTTTTATATCCCTTTGTACCAAACCTTCCTGACTTCTCTGAAGGCCAGAATATGGTAATGATCAAACTCGAAAAGGCGCTTGGCTGATATTCCACCGTTGAGTCTTCGTCCTATAATCCGGATAGGTTGGTCAGCGTTAGGCATGAATTTAAATATGCCCGATCGCAGCCAGTACACTCGATGTTAGAACGGTTCCTTCTCGTTGCTCAGTGATGAGTAGACTCGCGCTCGAGCTTCCGGACTTCCTGACATTGAATTAGGCCATGACTGACTTCAGACGGAAAATGAATCAGAGAGGGACGTTTTAATACTCCCAATCTGTGTTTGCAGCTACAGTTGATTATCGATTGACTGTTATTACGTGACCGCATAAAGGCACGCGTTGGATAAAGGTGAGAGTTCATTATGCCGGATACTTGCATACCCGTCGAAGCACGGTTCAAAGGTTCCCAACAAAAGGTCCTAGCGTCATCATTTTCAGAAGTTATCTCTATTGAAAAATTCCTAAAATTATAAAGCGTCACCACCGCCAGAAATCATGCGAACTTTATTTTAAGCGACAGTACAGGCTGCAGTATATTGTAGTACTCTCACGCTCTTTAATATGACTCAGAAACCCAAATCTCAAACTCGCTATTTGTCAAACTATGCGCCTTCAAAATACTTTACGCCGTGTAATTCCAACTCTCAACTTGTTTGTAGGTTTTAATAGGCCATCCCCACTTGGTGTAACTGTGCTCTGGTACTAACCGTTTTTGGGCTGTTATAGTGTTTTATAAAAGGCGGGAGGTATTTAGATTTAAATTCAAAAAACTAATGCGAATTCGAAATTCCTACCAAAAAAAGTTAGGGGCATTGTTTTTAACTCTGTTATATCCACCTTAGAAAGTTGCTTCCTCATATTTCGACAATTTGTCTATCTCTTTCTCAGTTTTCGAACAGCAAACTGTTATGCCATGAACTGTTGACTTAAATTATGAAATGTTTTTTCGATTACTGAAGACAACTTAAGTAGTGTTGTAATATTAATGATTAAGCAGCAGAATCTCATGATATTTCAGTCACGTCAGAATGCCGGATTTTATACGAGCTCCTTTCCGGCCGTCCGCAAAACTATACTCCGTTAAATGACGACTTAAGTAACTCGAATTTTTATTATTGATTTTTATGTCCTTATGAATTCAATCATATTTTGTATCAAAGTGCATATAAACATTCGTCTTTTACTCTTGGTAGCAATTAACGTCTCCTTTTATTTCTATAACTGACGGAAAATTTTAACTCAGTTATGGGAACTTTTAAATTCCTAAATAATTTCGGACCCGTCCTGCCGTTACACATTCATTCAGGGTTCCCAAATTACAAATTGTATATTTTCCCTGTTAAGTAAAGCATTTAAGATGATACTATATGGGGCTTCTGAAACTTTATACCTAATATGACCATATTTTGTAGTACTCAAGCGACGGTACTAGTAGTAGAAATATGTTGTCTTATAAATCCCATACTAAGAACCTTTTCACAGCCAAAAGATATTCTTTCTCCAAGTGCAAAGTGCAAAAAGACCTGATTTGCTACCGAATGAGCTAAATAATAAGTATTTATGTGCATATTTTCTATAAAATATATTTGAATTTATAAAGGCATCGAAAATCAGTGAGTGCAATTCATACTACATGAGTAGTAATTTATTGCAGAGGGCAGCTTTTGTAGATGGCCTGAAAGAAGCTTGCATAAAAGCTGACATCCTACTGTGAATGGCATAACTTCATCGCCTACTGATCCATTTCTAAACACGTCAGAGGCATCGGAATGATGCGGAACTTCAAAAACGCTGCACGTTTGTTGGTCTACGATGAGTATAATTCTTCACAGTATCTCAGAGGTAAATTAGGTATCCCTTCATGGCGGCGTTGTCAAAGCTTGACAGTAAGCATAAAACCCATCTCTGGCAAACCAAACCAGCTCGGTTGTTCTTTCGGCGTTATCTGTGCATGGGAGATGGTAACGCCAATTCGGGCAGAAATGAATAAAGACCCGATATCCTTTATTTTCTGCTGTATGCTCTTAAGGCCTCAATAACAGAATTCCGTCTCCCTCACAAAAAACATTTGCTAAGTTAAATATTTCGCGACCAGACAGCTGCAGGGGGAGTCTGCAGATTGTTTGCTGAGCTCGGGAAGCTAATTTGCCGACAATATTAGGTTGCATTGCAGTATTCGCAGTCAGTTTGATGCATTTTTATTCCCTATTTCCTACGCTTTTGTTATGAGAATACAGTCTTTACATATAAAAACTAAGTTAACTAAATAAAGCCACTTCTGACGTTTTTGGGATATTACGTTTTTCAAAATAAGTCGGCATTTCTAAACAACGTAACACTGTCCTTAATATTTCTTACATTTTTTTAATTCTTTTAAACTTGTACTTAATTACCATGGACATTGGACTCATGAAATGGTGTCTGTTTGCGAGTGATTGGCAATCATTCGTAAATTTCTACACATTTTATTAGTAAGGTCACTAACTGTTTATCTGACTGGTCTTTCTCATGCATGTGCACAGGCTGCCTAACCTAAAAAATACGGATTTCTATAAATGAATAACCCTAATCCAATAATGTTAAATCACCGGAATCTGATAAGTGCTCTCCTCATATTCTGAGGTTACGAAGGGCATTGAAAAGGTGCCCACTCGCCACTGCGTTTTTCTACCTTTATCGTCTACCTACAGCGGTAAAAAGCGAAACTAGTTGATTTTGGCAGACACAAACTCCTAGAAGTCTATTAAACGAAAGCTCGTCCTCTATTCTGTAGCGTCTCTCCATTTCAGATGTGTTTTTAACCCTGAGTGTGAAGATAACACGCGAAGACAGTTTCAAAGTCAGAAAAAACTGTCTGTTGTGCTGACACCTACGCAAATGCCTTTCTCATAATGAAATGTAATGTATTTTTTAATTTTTGGAGATGCACATCTGAGGGAGGGGGGCAGGACTCTGGACACATTTTAGGATCCGACTAGTTTGGTCGAAAGCTATCCGTGCTGATTCTAGTACAGCCTGCAATCGAAAAACTGAATTCCGCAAAGCTTTGAAATAACTAACTGAAAGGTTACATATAGAGTCTCCCAAAGCGCCTACATCAGACAAAGTACACACGTGTACACGAAAGAACCCCAAAAAGTGCCAGATGATTCGGCGATTTATAAAAGGAAATGACCAGAGGATGTGCATTGAAGACTGTCATTTGGAAAAACTGACTTGAGACCACCACTTGAACTTTCAGCCGAAAAGAGACTCGATGAGAGCATCCATTGTTTCAACAAAAGTTGACTTTACCTTAACACGCCTGAGGCTGTAAAACTGTCCTAAACCAAAAGCCCTTATTGAATGTAAATGCGCTCTTCTGCAGAATGCGCTTCTGTAAGGATGCGCTCTTCTGCAGGCACTAAAAACGCTCCTAAGATACATTTCTCTTCCACAGTTTCACTGGCTCAAGTTGTGCTGGACCAGGCCAACTGGGAGATCTGTTCAGTTTCGCCGGCTGGAAAGGCGAGTGCAGGTGTGCTCACAGCCTGTTTCCTCTGGCTGGCCCTTCCGTTTGCATTTGGCACGTCCACCAGCCTTGGCTACTTTGCGCTTAAAAAAGACCTCTTCAACAACATCACTGCCGAAGTTGATACAGGTAAGCACTTTGTGAGATGTCACATGAGCTAATATGATCACAAATGTCAATGTGTGTGTGCGTGTGGTAATTAACTGGTGTTCATATTTGCCATTCGAGCTCATCCAAGTCTTCGTGGTCGCCAACTCAGGGTTTCGCATGTCAGTGGTGCTAATTTCTCAGCGAATAACTGCATCCCAAATCGCACCACAGTGTACCGACAAAGATAGGGGAGATCGGAATGATCTTATCTGCATTTATTACCAGTCGCTATGCGGCTGTCTGCGAATACTCTATATTTAGCCCCAAGGCTAGACGGGTGAGCACGTCCCATAGTTTATATTCCCAATTGCAACAACGGGACAACGGACCGTGTATCAGTAGCAGAGCGTTGGCTTACTTAACTCTCAATAACGAGAGAGCTCTGGTTCGAATCCTAGATCATCCACTTTTGGATTTAGGTAGGGCTGATTCACGGCAGTTACTACGTCAGAAAGTGTTACCCGGTCTCCCTAGTCTCTCTCAGTATCCCCTTACTTGCTAAGTTATATACAGTAGGTTACTAATAAGTCCATTCATTGAACCTCCCAATTAACTACTTCCTTTTATTCAATTTAATTGACTTGTTTGTCGTTTGCTGGTACTACTTCAGCACTCATATTTGTGAGCAAGATAAATTTCGGCTCTCGCCCAAATCACGGTGTTCTCATTTAGTGAATGATTATAACGTATGCAAGATGGATCTGATAAGTTAGCCGACGATAGGTTCAATAAACTTCGGGTGCTCAGTCGGGACTGGATCCTTAGAGAAAACTATCATGCTCTCTATGTACGCGTGTTCCAAGAGGGCATTGCGTGACGACATGCCAAAGGGCTGGGATAACATTTATCACCTACAGATTAACAAAGCTTCTTTTTAGTATGTTATATGAAAATATGAAAGTCGATCTAAGAGAAAACACTTTTTGTGCGATGTTATTTAGTCGGTTGAATTTCATACCTTCATAGTTTTCAGAAAATAGATTGCCTTTGTCCATTATTTTCCCGTTTGATAATTGTTTTCTTATTGGAGATAGGAAATGCAAATCTTCGGTTTTAAAATACGAACTGCTAGAATGCCGGATTAAGATCGCTTATGGGCGATATTAGAATACTCCCTCTCTGACTCGGGTTCGAGTTTGATTTTATGGTTTGACAGCCGAGAATTCAAGCTGACTTACGTCGCGTGCCACCAGAGCAGAAAATCTTAGTTGACCTGCTTAATCTTTAAATTTGTCATTAGTCTGTCATCTTTAGACTCTTGTCTGCCTGGTTGAATGCAGCATGCTTGAAACATCTCAACCGTTAGGGACCGGGTATGTGTGCCTCCTTAATTTATTTTCCCAAAAAAGTCTTCCAGTACACTAAGATAATTGTGTTACGCAAATGCTTTTTTTCATTTTTATACATCTTAAAACACATTTTCGCTCCTAAACGATCCCCGTAAATACAGTCCCCCTAGTGCAGGAGGCTTTGCTCCCCAGTTTAACGGGATGAGAACCTAGCTGCCAAAAAGCACCTTTTTGTTTAACAGAACAAACCTATGGCGCAAATAAGATCTGTCTTTTTGTATAGTTAAGAACCTTACGTTTCCCCTCGATAACTGCTCCTAATACCACAATTTCCACGTTACGGCGGACCTTGCGCCGTACATTAGGCGGGATACGCACATCAGGTTCCGATCTCTCAGCCTTCAAGAACTTGTATTTAAGAGGATCGCTTGAAAGTGTAACAGATTTCGGGTTGGTGCGGAATCCAGGTTTATATTGGTGGTGTTCATCGATCTACTTTCTTTACGGGGTATCCAGTTTTTTCGAAGTTTTATCGGTGAAACTTCATGATTTTCACTTGCCATTTTATATGAAACGACTTGTGGTGGCTTCAGAGTTGGAGTTCCAAGGCGTAAAATATTCAGCCAGTATTCCCTCCTACCGTAATTCTATTTCTACGCGGCACTAAATTTTCTTGACCGCGGCGAACTGACCGTGAATTCAGTACACAAGTCACAGAAGCTTTCTCTGTTATGCAGCGACAAGTTGTAGGCCATAAGTCGCGCAAAATGTGTTGGCTCCAATGAATTCTGCTGTGTTTGTTTGTTTCAAACAGAACATTTCGCTATAAATTCTCACTGATACTTTGAGCTTTAGTTCAAAACTCTGATACTCCTGGGGTTGGGACATACCGAACTGCAAATAAACCAGAAGCAACCATCATGAACCACCTTATATTTCTCGTTTACGCTTATCGATCATACCCTTTCCTTACGTCCTCGTATCCGCTAAGAGGTGAACTTCAAGAAACTGGTGGGACGAGAGAGAATTGATTGCTTGAACAGGAATTGTGTTTATCCGAAGTTTCGGATTCATCCTCCAATCCAACCTTAGAAACACTGGCAGATAAGTTCATGATAACGCTCAGAGTGCCGTATTTCTAGAAAGCGACGACCAAGTAACTCCGTGAATATTAAAATAGCCCCATCGTAGATGCTCGTGCTTAATGCGACAGTGCTCTGGTCGCTCGTACCCAGGCCGTTAATGGTCGCGATTTCATCCCCTATCTTGTCAGCTGGCATGATAATTATTCAATCATTAGGGGGCAGTAGTATTTTCGCTTCTCCGCCGAGATTTTCAGCATGAACAATTGCACACCCCAGACTGAATAAGCCCTTTCCAACTTGCATTTCTAGCGGATGCAGCCATCACCGTTTTTGGGTCAGCTTTCGGCAACAATGGGACCCTCCTCCTCTTCGCAATGAATGCCTTTATTATAGTGACAGTTGGCATTTTTCAGCTTTTCTCTATCAGCGCGGTTGTCACCTACGACATTTATGCAACGCATTTGAAGGTAATTTTGTGAAAACCATGTAACAGATGGTGAAAAAGATTTCCTTGTCCCTTACTGCATAATATTGCCAACACAAGCACTTTACCTTCACATAGCAAGTTCGGACATGTTGGAGAGTTTCGATGAAATGTTGACATCAAGATCAACTTTGCCTCCCTCGACGAACTGCGCATAGACAAAGGGGTAGATAAAAAAGTGAAGATGAGTCCTTAACCTTACTTGGGTAAGCAGTTACTGTAGCCACTAAGCCATAAACTTCCATTGTTTAGCATTACATCCGATCCAGTTAACATCCTCCGCAAATTCCAGAATGTGTCAATAATAAGAATTACCTCACTTTTAGTCTCGTGAGCCGTCATTAAAGGGGGCAAATGGCCAGTTCGTAAAGACCAAATGCACAAAAAACCTATAGGCTGGATAAGGGAACGTTGGTTAAGCCTCGAAAAAAATTAACTAGATCAGATAAGCTCAAAGGAATCAAAGTATACTGGGTAGGACACGGGAATGGGAACCCCCATCCCTCATAATGTAGGTGGTTGTACGCCAGATTACAGGAGGGGACCCTATTCCCGTGCCCTAACCCCTACACTATCGCCAACTCCTGTCTTCCTGTACCTTTAGCAGGAGGCCATCGGTATTAGAGGGGGTGGGTTCCTATTCCCATGTGCTGGCGCATATTGAAAACATGTATTAACTTTTGATTCTTGCGTAATTGTCGTGTGGTCGAGGTAGTGCAATTACTAGCCTAAACCTTTCACAGTCCTTGGTTGGCTTGCTGCTTTACGTGAGTAAATACCAAAAGGTTCTGTAAGTTCAGATCAGGTTTCATCTCACATACAGACACCTCAAGTGGTGGCATGATTTTACGCCCTCGAAAATGCACGACGAGTACAAGTACTGAAAGAAGTTATGGCAATGCTTAGAGAGCAGGATCAAAGAAAAACATTATTTTATCCTCTTTTTGAGACGCCTAGAGGAGGTTCCCCAACAGCCTTTCGATTGATAGTCGCTTGCAGTAGACAGTGAGGGCAAATCGCGTTCCGCCACTGTTACACGTAGCTTTGCTTTTACTCGCAGCCAGGTATGCCGTCATGCGGCACCGCTGGCATGTTCCCGTACTATTTGATATCTTTATAAAGTCCGGTGAAACGCACATAATTGCATGATTCTGTTACTCCCGTTCTAGCCATTTAGAGTTTGCTACGATAACAACTGTTGCATCCTCTGCGGGAAGACAAGAGGTGAGGTCGCTCGACCGAAGGACAGATGTGAATGTGTACCAGTGATTGTCTGTGAAATGTGCCAGCGCGACAATGAGTGAGTGTATTTGGAGAGCTAAAAATCATGTTGAATATGGTTTTTATACTTTTAATACTATTGACGATTTGACTGCGCACCTGAGGCCTACCACCTACTCAGACCTTTTTCTTAACAAGAAAATAAAATATACTGCAATTTGGGTATTCCTAACAGACCGACAGGCAGCAACCGCTGTGTCTCTAGTACGCCAAGTGCAACCTAAGGGCTGATATCAGCAAACAATTCTCTTGATTTGCCAGGAAGTCTAGTTGCCGTCCTAAGCTAAAGGTGATCGCGCAGTGCCGCAAACGAAGCGTTCCACAGTTCACTTGACCTGCATGATGGACAAGTGAACAACACTTGAATCCTGGTGAGTTTCAAGTAAGTGGAGCTCTACTGAAGGACGCAGCGTCGATTGGCTTTGACCTCCCGCCATTCTGATGTCACGTTAGAAGCGCGCCTTAGGCAGTCGACTGACGGTGAGTAGTGTTCAGCGGGCTGAAGACGGCTAGGCTGGGTTGCCGCGACGGCGATCGAAGGATCAGACCTCTACAATCGCCCCCCGTCCGAGTAAGCATAACCATCCCGGAGGGCACAATGTCCTCCACTGCTTGGGACTTTTGCAATGCTAACAGGACAACGGAATTTCGCAGTTACGCACTTTTTCTGACCCTATCATGTCCAGTTTCTTATTAACGCCCAGCGCTGTGCCCACAGAATATTGTGCACGGGTTTGTGTAGCGTTATGGTGAGAAATGAACATTTGCCACTACTCTCACTTAATGGCGCTCACCAATCGTGCTACGGGCATATTCGTCCCGTTGTGCCTTGGAGGTCAGTCTAGAACTCAGCCAGCAGTCGCATTTCGGCTAGAAATATATGCAGAATAACGTTGCCAATAAAAACAAGAAAGATTGGAACCGAAATTTCTGGTCTACTAGCCGTCGTCAATCAGCCACACCTAACCCCGAGGTTTGTAACGCCTGGGGCCTAGCCTCGCTACCCGCTCGTTAGAAATCAAACGCTCTAACTTTTAGGCCACGGATTATTTGTCATTTCGGTTGCTATCGGTATTTTAACGCAATCGACGAGTACCCCTTTATTATTGTTAACATAACCCGTTACAACTGACAAGACCCTTTTAACGCTGATGACGATTGGGAGGAAAGAGATCCGGTCAAAATCTTCGGATAGTAAAAAAACAACGGAGTGTCGGCTCGTTCAGAACATGCTTAGAATTTATACGTGTAGGTTTCAAGGCTGTTCTTGCTCTTTTAGAGTTCAGCTCTCAAACAATGGCCCTGTGAAACCTGTTCCCATCTGTCGCGTTCATGCAGACTACAAAAACTACATCAGCAGACTGGAGACTCTTCATGGAACAGCTATTCTTGTGATCCTGGGATTCATTCTGCCCCTTGGAATTCTGCTGAATTATCCAGGGGTAGAACGTTATTCTATTTTTGACTTTTAGTGAATTTCTGATATTAAAAAGGCCATCGCAGATGGTCAACATAACAGGTTTATCTGCTTTTAAGAAAACAACCTTCAAGGCTCATTCGCCCTTGCTTTGATGAATAATTACTGAAATCTAACCAGTCCTGTTCAAAGTTTGTAGTGTTCAATGTGCCAAAGATTAGATGGACGGACAAACATCTCGTCTGGTGAAGACAGTAACTACCTTGCAACCGGGGGGATCAGAAGTACACTTCTGAAGTAATCCAATGCCGAATTCGGCTTTATGCTGAAGATTTGCAGTTCTGATCTTCTTCGTGCTCTGAATGCGAACGGACTTGTCGTGATATCAGTGATCTTACTGACTACATTATGTTCCATAATCGGAATGTTCACCTCGCAGCAGCATTCCAGTGGTCGAGTGAGCTATGATAATAGGTTTAGGGCCAGAAAGTAAAGATAATTTAAGTGAGCTGAGACTCTAACATCGTTTAATATAAATGACCTTGAGCATGGGACACGAGGACGCCAAGCTAGCTACTTGCTATGAAAAACGGGAAGCTTCAGCTAAAAGGTAGATTTTGTTCTCACGTTCTGAGATCCATCTGTCAAGTGGGTTTATTTTTAGTCCTTTTACCTCGAGATGGATATTCTTTATTCCAAATTGTCGCTTTAAATTGCATAAACGAGATAAACTAACGACCAATGCGAGCCCGGTAGGCAGCCAAAATATTACTGGAATAATAAAGAACCGAATTTACTTGGGACAGCAGCTTTGCTCGAAAGTATCCGATTTAGATGAGGCGTGAGGCGGGCCCCCTTATCAATGCAACGAAGTTTACAGGTCCCTTACACCTTATGCAGATTTTCATGAAGAAAATCACTTTTGGATGGTATACTCGAGACTCAGTTTATAGGAGACTGATGAAAAAAACTGTATTGGTTTTGTAAATATGGGTCAGTTCTGGGGTTCCCGTATCCTTGGAGTTCATGATATGTGACGACAGCAATTCAAAAGACCCAAATAACCTTCCCATAAGTTTAATAATCTCAAGTAATAGAATAGTAAACTGGTGTTTTTAATTCGCTCTCTCTTTCCTCAGAGAAACCGTGCTTCTTTGCAGTTTTTGACTCACTATTTTATGTCCTACAGGTGAACCCTGAGGCCGTCAACTCTATCGCCAGTGTGACGGTAACAGCGGCTGTTGGAAGTGTGATATTTGCCCTCTTTTTCACCTGGCTGACAGCACAGGCGATTGTCATCTCCTGTATCTTGGGTGGAACGCTCGCGGCAGTAGCCTGGCTTATACTGAACACGCTGGTGTCTTTTGACAAGATCTCTAACCTCAGTACGTCTACTTCCACCAATGGATCAGCAGCTAAATCCCCAGCACATACATTTTATCTTTCATGTGAAACTCAGTGTGTCATGACTTCAGTCAACGGTGTCTCCCACCCCAACTGTTTGCTCCGGGAAGCTGAGTCGAGGTCTTGTGTAACGAGATCTATGAAGATTAAGTGATGTGGTTATGGGAAGTTCGCAAAAAATATGGGCAAACGACCGCAAGATGAGTTAGGATTTTATAGCTAGTTTTTTTTCTTTCGGACGCTCTTATCGTTGAGATGTCATAGGTGGGGCTCCATTACGGCAAAACGGGGAGATTCAGTGAAAAGGCCAAATTAGCGTGCAGCGTGAGTGAAAGAGACTTGCCGTCTTGGTTCGATTTGGTTTTTTTATCGCACGGACACAGTGGAAAGGACGCAATTTATTCCAGAACTTTCCTATTAATCAGGTGCTACATGGTAGGCATAAGTACCCTGCCTAAAAGAGTTCACGCGGCACTTTTAGATATTTCAAAATGATATTCAGCTCCAAAGAACACTTCGAGAATTCAGATATTCAGCTAAGCATTTGACAGTCATAGAAATTGTCGACGAAGACTATTTCGATTCACATGTTCCAGGGTATGGGCTAGGGGAACTGCGATCGATGCTCAGAAGTCAAGACTGCCGACGCCAGAGAGAGAGAGAGGTGGCGGTGTTATTGGCAGGCTGAGAGCGTTAACCATTAACTTGAAAAACTCATGGTACTTGTGCTCGCGAAAATGTGGTGGTTCCTCATCGTCCCGTTTTCAGCATGTAACTGATCAGTTGTCTAGGTAATGCACGGCCTGCTTACCTAGAGCTAAACGAACAAACAGTTCGGTTACTTTATGTTCAGGAACCACGCTTCAGGTTCCTGTGGATGGGGTTTTAATGCACTTTGACCGAGGACCATTGTGCAGTTAAAGTCAGCGGTATGCACCTTCTCTCGCTCATGCTTCACCTTCTCGTTCTGTGCCAAACAGGGCAAAGATTATTTAGGGGTGGAATATCCCGCTAAGAAGGGAGCCTGACTTCTGTGAAGCATGTTTAACTGTGTTGGGTCTGGCTAATCTGTGGAGCAAAACTAGCAACATCAGATTGCATGCATGGAATAAGTGTAGGTCGCGGTAGCCACTACGCCGTAACTCATCTCCAGTCAACTCGACGTGACCCGGTCGCCCGTACAATATTGAATGGAAAAATAAGATGTCTGTCTGACGCAGATCCCTCAGGCTCCCGGATTCCTCACTCCACTAAATGAGACGCTCTTCAAATCATCACGACGCAGCGGATGTCGCACTCGAAAAGCTGCCAGATGAACGCAAAACTCTAACCCACTCCGGCCTGGCGGTCAGACTATGATTGTTTTTTTTATTCGTGGACGTTACGCCGACTCCCTTCGACTAGGCACGCAAGAATTCTCCTTTAAAGTCTGACGGATGCGTTTTCAGAAACAAGCACCCGCGTGGAATGCAAATTTGACTTTGTCACGTCAACCACTGCGCTCCCGCCCATCTACAATCGCCTTAGTCTTGTCACTAGAAGTCAATGGCCACAACAAGAAAGGGGGAGTTAGACGCTGCGCATTTCTCTCTAGTCATTATCAAGTTCGCGCTCAGGTCAACAGTGCACCCCCCTCCTCCTCCCCCCAGCCCATGGTAGTCTTCGGCGTATACGCCAATGAACACGTCTAACTTTAAGAGGAACCCCAGAGTTCGTTGCTCGGGAGGTCATCAAGTTTCTAATGATATGCCGCCGAGCGTGATCGTTCGGTTCCAGCTAGTTATTCGCAGTCCACATTTTAAATCAGTACCTTGCGAATTCAAGGTGGGCAGAAGTGGCGCGCATAGAGTGGGGTCAGAAGGCCTGACCGATCACTACCACAGTCCTATTTCTTACCTCTTGGCTCATCTTCAGTATCTGAAGGCGTTGGGTGTTTGACGAGAGACTGTGACCGATGCCGCGCACATTATCCTTACTGCAGACTCATTCCTACCCGAATTTTCTTCCTTGTTCTTCTCCGATCACACGTCGACAGGCCTAGCAAAGTTGAACTTTCGGTCTGCCAATGATTGCTGTTCGTACAGCCTAGTCAGCTGCCTAGGCTCTACCTTTCTGATGTAATTTGAGTCAGCAACATCGGAAAAGTTCCCCTATGCTACAGAAAATTCCCTTTTAAGGACAAGAGGTCTTTGGTAACGCCATACAGCGATTAAGAAATTTTGTCACCGGGCTATTGCTACAACCGCGTGAATATTTAGTAAGAAACGGCGTCCCCCTGCTATTTGTTGCGCATCCCTCCTGAACCCATTTGGCTCAATGAGGCAACTAAGAACTGTTTTTCTTCATAAATGCTCCGACATTGGTAACCGTTTTCAACAAATTACAGGCTTAACTACAACGATACGAAAATTGTTGATCGCCTTAAGAATTCAAAATGTTGCTCTTTACCCTCCATCAAACCAATAACGGGAGTCCACAAACATCAGACTCAAGTAATAAAATACATTAGAAGAGATCTACCTGTCACGTCCCAGATGTTCTGTTACTAGGCTCCGAGCAACCATCGAGAATACGCCCTCGCCAGTCGACTCTATATCAAGCTGACCGGGATTTCCAAAAATCAAAAAATTTAGTTCACAGTACTCTAACGAATCCCTTCTGGTCATTTCAATATTAGTAAACAATTTTGCTGCGATCTTTCCCTAATAATAGGTTCTTTTTTACCTCGTACAAATTAATGATATGGCTGGACTAAAGGCAGTGAACTATGGTTTGAATTGCATAATATCTGAATTGGAACCTGGGTTATCATCAGCATTTTATGTAGAGACGTTTTGGCATGGGAATATTGGACCTCCAGTGCAACAGGAGGCCTTGTCCTTAATTTCGGGCAGTTAGAGCTAGGGTTACTGTTATGCTTTGGGTAAAATTTAGGGTTGGGAGAGTTAGGTTTATGTGAGCCAGTGTTAGGTTTGAGGCTAAGGTTAGGACACTGCAATAGAATCACCTTGAAATTTAACGTGAGTCCACCTGTATCATCTGGGAGGGGGCGATTCCTGTGTCCAAGTTTGACCGTAGAAACATTATTCCATGTAGTATTTTTAGGGTTTGCTTTGCACCCCGGCTCAAATTCAGGCGCAAGAGGTGGGATGTAGCCTTTTCATGAATCCACACTTGGGTCCGAGATAATCCCCAAAGAACTGATCGAGGAACTCTTTGCTGCTAACGAATTCTATTTACATATTTTTAGAGTCTGGTTCCTTTTAAACTTCAGCACTCAGTGAAGTACACTTGTTTTCGTCTGCAATCGGAGTTTGCAGTGGCTTCATCCTACCTATTATAATTTCGTTTGCAACAAAAAGGACTGATGAAGATTTTGGAAAGAAGAGTTGGGAACGCCTTTTTGAACTTGACAATCCGTTAACTCCCTGGGCTGAAAGTTTCAGCAGGTAAATCATTTTTGGTTTATTTACAGACGGTCGCTGATGTTCGGCCGGCACTGTATTAAAGGCTATCATCTCATAGTTTAAATCTATTCAGCTTTTCACTTGGCAGCTAGAGTTATAACTATAGCTTTAAAATAATACTCTCATAGTGGAGTTGTTGCGAATTGTGAACGTAATGTTTACGAGTAAATGAACTTTTCATACATTAAAATATGCGCTCATTTCTGACCCCAAAGCTAAACGCGGTTTCTACTCAGTTACATAAGAGTAAATGGTGGTCGATCATCTTACGACAAAACAATAACTCCGACTTGCATATTTCAATACAACGTAATTAACTTTAGCTCTATAGGACCCTCCTAGCGCAGATAAAAGTTCGGCTGTGTTCGGTAGGCAACTCAACTAGCTGGCTGTTTTAAACATGAAAACTAAACAGTCGCAGTAGCGTTTTCCGTCTTGACCGGACTGCAGGATACGATGTGGGTAAGTTCTGTCTGCTTTACCGTTTTCCTTTAATTGCTGCTTATCGCAGTACGGTAGCCTGTGCCGACACTAGACAGGAGCTGACAGGTAAAATAAAATTTCCGTATTCGGTTTTGCAAAGTTTCTGTGATCTGAGGCATGTAAGGAAGTCGCGGATTTTTGAAACTTAATTTTTACATTATCCGTTCGGTTTATGACTTTAGTTTCTTTCAGTGTGTTCTCCCTTGCATCAATTTTTGTCGACGACGTTAGTATCTCAATGACATTTCAAGCACCATACTGATGCTCCGAAATTATTCGCCTCAAACAAGGTCTTTTTGGGCCGTTTACTCTAACTTGGCAAGAAAATAATAAAAAGAACACATGAAATCTCTACTGACGGACTGTAGGCAATAAGTGCTGCCTAACCCACTCAAAGCGACTGTATTTTTCGAATTACGCTCACCAAAACAAGTTCAAAAACAGGCGGGTCGAGGTGGCACAATAGGTTTAGGTTTTTTGCTTTGGAGTTCCAAATGTACAGCTGTGGAAGTATCTGACTAACATTCCAAATGCCAAATGTATGACATTGAAGCAATTTCGAATAATTGGTTCTTTGTTCCTCTCCGAAATTCTATAATCAGATGGAGCTAGGGAAGACGAGCAGTGCGATCACTCAGAGACTTTTCTTAGTTCTCTGATGATTTTCTTGGTCCATATGTTGGCTGGGTTCACCGTCTGAGTTAACGAAGACAAAAGAACCTTACGATAATGAAAGCTAATTTCCGACCTCTGTGCACAACTAGTGCTACTTCTGTCGTTTATGAGACCTGCGACTGCTTAAGTCGCCCAACAATGTTTTCAACTCTTTGCTTAAACCAGTAAGACAATTTTTATTAAGGGAAAGGATTTCTAAACGCGGACGAGCATAACTCCTTTATTATTATTAATATTATTATTATTGTCCCACAACGGATAGAGTCCCCATAAGAGCGCAGTAAGAAGGATCCAGTTTAGCCTGCATCTCAGCCCTAAGGACCACGTTGTTCAGTCCGGTAGGCAACATGCTAATCTACGACTTTTAAGGCCCGTGGGAGGACGAATGCATGTCGGGATTACTACAGTGAGGAATGGCAACATCTGTTTATCATTACTCAGTCCGCCCGCTCATATCACGCTGGAGAGTTAAGGCGGCGGTGTTTACCGAGTATTCGACTGTAGCTGCGCGTCGCACATGTGTTGACTCGTGAGTCACCAGGAAACAGACATCGCTTGTACACTTGTGCTCCATCATGTGTTGACCACTGATGATCTATGATGATGAAATCAATGAACGAAAACAAAGATTTAGTCTTAAGGGTCAGGGTGAATACCGTGTGGCCTCAGTTATTTGCATGGAAGTACTCAACAAAATAAACACCGTAGTCCGTGGAAGAACGTTCTTACTTCTCTGTAAGCATACTTAATTAGGACTCTGGGTTGCTGATTATGCGTGAGGCCAATGGCCTTACTGCAACTCTGCATTCCACCTCTTATGCATTCATATTCTTTTGTGCAGACACTTTTCCTTGCCATCCTACGATCCGCATTCCTACACCAGCCCACCCTACGAGGAGGTCAAAGCAGCACTACGAACTTCACAACTGACAAGTTTTATCGGCGGTGCCATCTTCGTCGTCTTAGTCTTGGCCCTGTGGCCGGGACTATCTGCCATTCCAACACATTTCAGTCGTGAAGGCTTTAAAGCGTGGGTAAGTTTAGTGCCCCCGTTGAGTAATTGCGTTTTTTTCTGGAAGATTTTGAGAAAATCTCCTGCAAATTTCTAAATTTATTTTTATTTTCTTAAAGACCGCCACAAATGTCTACATGGCAGCCTATTTGTAAACAATTTTCCCCCTTTAGAACGTGTTTACTTGCGTACGTAGTTTCGGCCACTCAAACACGTAGCAGGGTGGACGAGGCTAGAAGTTGCGTCTCGAAAACAAAAGGAACCGCGAGGTAATCAAGGAAATTCTTTCTTAACTAGGTTGACTAGTGGAAAACATAAAAGCCACCACCCTTGGAGGAAAAATAATCGTGGTACACAAAAATTACCTGATGTTGACGGTATAAGCACATTACTGATCCATTATCGAAGGGAGAGGGGCAGATAGCCGGGGCAGTTGTTGTACCGCTCCATCTTTGCCGGCGTCGATTGGGCACCAAAAGAAGAGGGAGGGGTGAGGGTAACAGTTTACGGCATTGCTACTGATAACCCGCGTATGGTTATCAAGATGGCTTTTCCTTGTCCCTTAACCGAGTTCCATTAGAAGAAACACGAAAATGCGCGATCATTGTAGGAAGACCTAATGTTTACAGGCTTCCCATGATGCCGTTTACTACTGAATTTTAACGAAGCATAAAGAATGAAGTGCACATACAGATTTATGTGGTAAAAGGGGACTAAGTACATAGGACGAAATTTTTCATCAGAAGAAGTCGAGGAATTCTTGAATGGACTTGGAAATACTTCACAGTTTCGCGTTATATTTTTAAAGGTGAACATATACCACAAGTTTCAATTTGATTGGGCACTTCTTTATTTTATATTTCTGTTCTTGTTTAAAAATACAGAAATAATGCAAACAGATAATTACTCTATTTGAATGCTAAGGCTTTAAAGACATACTCGACGCCAAAGAATATTTTTTCGTCGATAGAAGGTTTGGATGAATGGAACCACTTTAGAAGATATAGACTAAGCATAAATTCGCTTTCTGGGTAATTAGGTTTTTCCATCTGTGGCTTTCTGACATGCTGGACTTCATCATTTAAAAATGGCAAATTCTTCGCATTTATTGGCTATGTACGCCAAACACAGGCAGAATATCTTCCGGCTATCTTTGATGCAAGCGGCTGGGGGAGGCCAGATACGGCACCTAGTCCTCGAGTTCCAGGACTGGTGTTTTTCGTACTCGCTGTCTTGCAGTGGCCCTGAAAAATCGCCAGTGTCCTGCCGAAAACAAGGATGCTATTAAAGCTCACAGCATGACAAGTTTCCTATAGTACTTACGCAAGTGGTCCCCAATGTAGGCAGCCAAAGGATAGGCTGTGCAAAACATGCATAAAAAACTATGGAATCTAGTACGTCTTTATTCTCCGTGACATTGGTGGTCAGACAAGAAAACGACCGGACTTCTTCCAGGTTTATCATAAAACCCTGAGAGTAAAAACTGCTGAAAGATTTTCTGGCAACGTACCCCGAGGGGTTTTTCGCCTGACTACTGGGAATATTTTTAACTCCTAATGTTTGTCGCCCATAATTACTCCCCATAAGGCTGTCCGTAGGTGTTGAAGAAGAAGAGGGGGAAGAAAAATAAGAATAGAAGGTCGACATTTCTGGGATCTCTTTACTAACTCGGTTACCTTTTAATCATTAATTTAATGTCTCTCGTTGGCACTGGGGTTTAACCGTTTTTTTTTTGGTGTTTTGCCAAATTTTAAATGATCCACTTTGACCAGACTGTGAAAAACTCGGCGACCTCGATGGGATTCGAACCCACGACAGGAAGAGGAAAGCTTAAGTACAGCCAACGCTTTATTCACCTGAGCTACGAGACCACACGTTGCTGTAGGCTAGGTGAGTAACTTGACCCGAATGTTATTAAACTGACGGCTGTCCATGGGACCTCGTAGCTCAGGCGGCTAGAGCGTTGGCTGTACGTAAGCCTTATCCTTGCTGTCGTGAGTTCAAATCCCACGGAGGTCATCGAGATTTTTACAGATGAGTCGAAATGAATCATCTGTTTCTGTTTTCCTTATTCCACTTTGCACTGTTATTGCGCACCTCTATAAAAGGTATAGGCCGCTTTTGGGCGTCGGAAAACAGATTGGACTCATGACTATAAGTTTATTTTTCTTCACGTTAGTTTCTTTCAACATTGCCAGTGCAGTCCACACTTTTCTTTAGACTGCTTTTTCAAGAAATAGGCTCGAAGTCGATAGGCCAGGACTGTCTTTGGAAACCTCTGGCACTCCCTCAACGCAATGACAGAAAGAACGTCGTAGAAGATAATAGCGTTAAAGACACTAATTATTAATGTAAGACATGGAATTAAGTACGCACATGAATGCCTGAATCTGTATATGACTGATGAAACCGAGGAAGTAATGAACTCCTACTCTCTTTACACGACCGGCATTGTTCGACCAAAGCATCCAATGGATGTAAAAGGGGATCTCATCCCGGGAGCAAACCTCTGGTTCTTCTCATGATTCGACGTTTTATTCAAGGAGAAGGATGGCTGACAGATGGCATGAGGGATATAAGCACAACACCAAGGAAAGCTCCTGGCGAATCATGGTAATGCTGCATTCGCACTAGCGCAGCATCAGGTTTAGGTGTCTACTAAAAAAATCAAGACGAATTCGCCCTCAAAGTGCTGAAGTTCGAAATGGCCTTCCGACTTAAAGACTGAGATAGTACCAGACTTAATTAGTCAAAGTTGGATCTGCCAATAAGAGTTTTGGTCTCCCTAGCTAGCTGCCATTCACTCGTTTCCAAATGGATCACCGTACGAAGGGAATTCGTTACCAATATACTTTGTCATCTTTCACCATTTGTTTATAGAAAATCAAGCTTGTATAAGCCTCTCACCTCTGGCACATACACCAGGAGTCGGGATCATGACTTATGAGCGGATGGAACATGCGTCGAGGGGCAACCAGTCACAGGCGCCTACAGATTCCGTTATCATCCAATCACGCGCGTGCGCCAAAAGCTAGCCGTACGTCGAGGTCTCTGACCACCAACAGGATTCCGTACAGAATACACGTCTCCTAACAGTCTCTGCCCCCTCCTCCTTTACAACTGCACGGAGCCATGATTATTATGGGGGCTAGTGTACGCCCTCAGTCTAGGCTGCTGAAATTTAACTGACGTCAAGAGAGTATTTAGATGGGGTAGTTAAGCGAAACGAAAAGTTTGATTGAAAGCAATTGTTGAATGTTTAAGTTGATAGTAGGGAAAAGTATTTGTCAGTCTTGACTTACTCTTCATTATATTTTTCTTCAATTTCTGTCTATACCAGGAAACCAGGTACGCTTACTCTGTTTGTGTGGATGCATGTTTCACGTTCCAGATTGCACTGATGACGACGTGGCTTACAGTATCCTGCGTGGCTTGTGTCACCTTACCTTTGCTGAACGCCTTCTTTCCGATGAAGAAGTGTAAACGTTCGAGGAGCTCATCACCCGAAATCACTGCCAATCCAGCCCTACCAACCATCGAGTATTCGGAAAGTTCGGAATAAAACAACATGTTTGGTATGTATAGATTACAGACCTTGTATAGGGGTAGCAGTGGGCCGGGACGCTAGCGCGCAATTCGAAGGGTACATTTATAAGCAGGTCTACGTATAAGTGAATTCTGCGCCTATAAGTTACGATGGAAGCATAGGGTTTTGGGCTTGTTTGGTAGGAGGCAGGTAAATATTGGCAAGAGATTACGTAACGCACGACTGCAGAGATAAACACGTAAGTAAAGGGCTGAAAAAGATTTAGTCTTATGTTGGAACAGACCAATGGATGATATTACGGACAAAGGCAAGGGAGATTGGAATGACCATTTCTGGCTTATTAGCCGTCGTCAGGCAGTCATACCCAACCCCGAAGTGTGGAATACCCGAGGCTCGAACTCGCGACCTGTTTGTTAGAAGTCTACGCCTCTAGCCACTGAGCCACGAGCCCGTTGCCCTGTCGGTCTTCGATCGGGAATATACAATGTTAGGGGCGCTTACAGATCTTTCTTACGGAACTCACTCGTTTCGTTGTGCTTTATGCTCTTTTGAGCCCAAAACTAGCAGCCGCACAGCAGCGCATGATATAGGCAGAATGATATTACTGACAAAGATAAGGGAGCCTTGAATGGCCATTTCTGGCTTATTAGCCGTCGTCAGACCAATGGATTCCTGCGACATAAATGTCCGCCAAATTCAAACAAATTCAAGCCGAAAAGTAAAATTATCTAGAATTTTGTATATTCAAAGCACGTACAGGATACAGTATGAAACACGCATAGTCCCCCTTCATACAATCAGTTTAAACTTCGAGTTAGTGGTAACTATAGGAGTAGGTGGCTAGAGGCATTTTTGACCAAACATATTATACAGTTCGGATATACCCTTCATGATCTTTATCATGTTTCAATGCACATTCTATTAACCCCTCCCTTTGACCTAACAGAACTTTTGAAGTGGTATTTGTGTTGACTAACAGTTAACAACTCGAAGAAAGAGAAAGAATCGCGGGATTTGAAATGCCGTCTCTGCTATTCAAAAAATAGTGAATAAAATTACAAAATGAGCGTTCCTGTCAAGAGTCCAGACTGGAAAGCCCCATAATCATCTTAAAGTCACCCAGAAGCCCTTAGATCTTGGATGGACTGTCGCCTGACCCTAATACCATCTCAAAATGGTGCAGTTCTACAAGACGCTCAAATTAAAATCCTGTTTCCCTCTAAAAAGTTGGTTTTTATTTCAAACACAACCATAAATAGCCCTAAACTACCCGCATGAAATGTATTTTCCGGAATTTATATAGTTCGCATCCAGATAAAAACTTAAAAGGTCCTTCAATGACAATAAATTTTCTCCAAGCCCTTCCCGGTCGAAGTTGGACTTTAGAATTAAGTGCATTACGGAGGCTGCATAAGGTATGCGTATACCTTTAGCGGGCTGACATCTGATAGAGGCGAAAATGCTCCTAGAAAATACTGACGTACGCTGGGGGATTTCTAAGATGCTAACAACACGCTATGAGACGCAATGCGCAAAAGCGGTGGGTTATCACACGAGACGCTGAGGGACAGAGGGGTTATGACTGCACAGACTGACGCTTAAGGACAAAGAGTATGAACAGGGAAAATATCGAAAAGGACGAATGAGGCCGAGATGATCATTTTAGAACACTACCTGTTCCGACCCAGTCATGCCCCGACACCAGACTCGAATGATATCGGGCTCGAATATGTACTTTCTGATCATTAGGCACTAAGCTGAACGTTCGCATTCTAAAGTCACGGTTGAGTCGCTCTGACATCAATCATCGGGAATAATAACTCATATGAGAGTGGCTTTCCACCGAACCCACTGCATGAAGACATGTGCTCGTTCGGATATGACTGACTGACGACAGTTAGTGAGCCAGAAATGTTCATTCGCGCCTCCTCCGTCTTTCGAAAGGTGCTTTTCACATATGTAAGGACGGAAAATGGACAAGGTATAAGTATCCCCGTAGTTCAAGGGATCTTGTACTAAACTCGGTGTGTACTTTGCCTGTCCTAACTTTGACCCCAACCCGACGCAAACCCTTCTGACCCTACACATAACGCTAACTCCAACCCCTGCAATGAGGAGTTACTAATGACCGTGCCCTACCTAATCAGATTCATATATATATATATATATATCTGTTCCGTAACCTGATCAGTAAGTACCCATCTTTCATGACATGTATATATATATATATATATAATGGCAGGGAGCGATTATCGATCGTTCTAACGAAACTCACTTTTTCCGTTGTACCTTACGGGCTCTCTCTCGAGCCCAACCAGCAGCCGCACAGCGGCGCATGATATAGGCAGACGGCGTATTACCGACACAGACAAGGGAGACTGGAATGGCCATTTCTGGCTTATCAGCCGTCGTCAGCAAGTCAAACCAAACCCTAAAGTGTAGGAAACCTGGGGCTCAAACTCGCGACCTGTTAGTAAGAAATCCAACGCCTCTAACCACTGGGCCATGGGCCTGTTGTCCTGTCGGTTTCGATCCGGAATATACAATAGTAGGGGCTCTCACCAATCGTTCTTACGGAACTCACTCGTTTTGTTGTGCTTTATGGACTCTCTCTTTCGAGCCAAAAAACCAGCAGCCGCACAGCAGCGCATGATATAGGCGGAATGATATTACTGACAAAGATAAGGGAGTCTGGAATGGCCATTCCTGACTTGCTGGCCGTCGTCAGCCAGCCATACCCAACCCTGAAGTGTGAAAAACACGAAGCTTGATCACATGATCTGTTAGTTAGAAGTTCAACGCCTCTAACCGATGAGCTCTCCTCTGTCATCGTATATTCCCGATCGCAACCGACATGACAACTAGCCCATGGCTCAGCGGTTAGGGGCGTTGGACCTCTAACCAGCAGGTCGCAGGGTCGAGCTCCAGGTGTACAACACTTCGGGTTTGGGCATGGCTGGTTGTCGACGGCTAACAAGCCAGAAATGACCATTCCAGTCTCCCTTGTCTTCGTCAGTAATGCCCTGCTGCTTATATCATGCGCCGCTGTGCGGCTGCTGTGTGGGCTCGAAAGGGAAAGTCACAAAACACAACGGGACAAGTGGGGTCCCTTCTACCATATATGTACATATATTACACTGTTCATATGTTATCCTTTGTTCTATATGCAATTAACTGATCTCGCAAGTCGACTTTTAAGCATGTAATTGTTCAAACGCGGATACAAAAATCGTGTGGCCCAAAGTAATCTACGGGTAGTAAACCCGAAGGCAGTTTTCCCACAGGTACGACTTTTGACGAATCAAACAAAAAATCTTACTTTTCGGTTTTATTTTAGTTTCAGCCCCGGGCTCTGGATTATGAAAAGTGGTCAGGAGGACGGAATGGGGATCGCACCACTTTTAAACTGCATCTTTTTAAGGCAATCATGTTTATTATTACTTTTATGGCAAAAGGCAGCTCTTGACGATATATTCCTCATTCTCCTATCCGCCTAAATTACAATAAAGCTAGTTACATATCAAAGTGGTTTTTCTGTTTTTTTCAGAAATACGATATCCCATACAAGTTTCATTTTGATGTTTATGAAATCGCCTCAAGGTTAAAATTGGGAAGAGCCTTACAATTTAGCATCCTTTAGTCAATTATTCGATAGCGAAGAGCTGGAAGAAGTTGTTTTTCTAAGCTCTACAAAATGGGTGGCATAAGTAATGACCTTCTTACAATTACAGTACGTGGACGGATTTCGGAATTGAACATCTAACTGCGTAGGAAAAAAGGGAATTTCTGTAAATTTGCTGAAAGCAGTTCTTGGCCAAGTCATGCGTTACATTAGCGGAGGCGTTCCTGGGTAGAGGCCCGATCACCAATCTAACCTAAAATGACGTCTCAAAACGTGGCACAGTTTATATAAGCAGCGAAAGCAAGCTGACGTAACACAAAATCAAGCAGGAACACTGCGACGTCCCTTTGGCCCGGTAACAATCGGGAGATGGCACCCAAAGAAATCCGCCTAACCAAAACAGCCTGTCTTACGAGACAGGTGGTAATAGGGGTTTTATGTGTGGTGGCTGGTCGGGATGTACGATACTAGTCGACGGAAAGGCGTATTTGAACACGTGAATGATCGAAGTTGGCCCGCTCTCCGTTCCGTTATTATAAAATGGGTCGCCAAACCAGTATAGTGGTAACGGACGAGTGGAAGGCGTATAATCGTCTTCCCTCAGAAGGTTATCTACATTTATCTGTTAACCACTCAAAGAACTTCAAGGACCCTACCATTGGACGGCACACCAATGCCACTGAGGCATACTGGAGTAGACTGAAAAGGAAACTCCACGAGGGAGGCCCTGTATGTGATCGAGCTGTGTGGGCTCACACGAAGTATAGTATCGTCTTTGACAGATGCCTGGGAACTGTTTCTGTCCCATGTTGTGCAGACTTATCCTATTTAAAATTGATTTTGTTTTGTAATAAACTACCATAATGCGAATGCAAGCCGTATGTTCAGGTGTACGTGTGTAACGATGGGGAAGACTGGGTAACAGCGACCATCGTCCATGTAACCCCCTGCGATGTTCGTTCGGCCAGCCCATGTTAGGCCGTCGCGGAAAGTCCAAGTAGTGCGTGAAAGTAGGCCTGCAACCGCTGATATAGCCTGAAGGCGTTTGAGTCCACTGTTAAAGATATTATTTCTAGGTAACGGATTTTTTTGGGTGCCATCTCCCGACTGTTACCTTTGGCCTACTTTACTTGACTATTCAAACGCCAATTCACAAGGTCGGAAAGACTAGCCAACTTTAGTATAAAGACTTGTTTAAATAGACTTCCGTCGAGTTTTCCAGATGCAACTGATGATCACTTGGGCCAAATCTTTCGACCGCGTCTAAGAGATTGGCCTAAAATTTCCACAGTCGAACAGACTTGCCATAGTTCAGTTTTTAAGATCCTCAGAAAATAATGTACTAACTTGGAATATATCCTTCAGAATGAAGCCTTATTAATTCAGCACAAAATCTAATATGAGTGTTTGATCTGAAATCCATCAGATTCAGCGCACTAACCGCGTAATATTCTTAAGTTGACAACGGGCAGTCAGCAGTGTACACACATGGGATTCATCATACTGAGAGCACAAGTACTAGCTGAAAGCCCGGGCACGTGTTTCGTCGATATTCTGCCGCCGCGCGATACAACTGCAAGGAGTTCGTCTTATTCCTGTGTTTACCAACGTTCCCCGTGTGTTTCCTAATAGATAATTCAGTTTTGACTTGTTAATAGATTCTCTGTTGTAGCCAGCAAATTTCGTGAGGAATCCCTTACCCTATACGAAGTCGGGCCAGGTGCAGGGATTCTGATCTACACCCTCAGCACAAACCCACTTATCTTTATGCTTTGCGCGACTGCTGCACTCTGTTTGGATTGACCGTTCCAAGGTCGTGAATCGATTTTCTTACAGCGTGGGTAGAGTGGCACGTGTATTTGAAAAAGACGCACACGCCATGAGTCAAGAGCAGAAACTTATCCAGCCAGAGACTAGCCTGGTAAAGTATCGAAACCCCCAGCGCATCGCCAAGAAGACAGAGGATGGAAAGGCCAGTGAGGGATTCGATCCAAGGGCCGCATGCAGAATGCAATCAACGGAGAGCATCTTATCGAGTATAATGCCACCACGGAGAATAAAGATAAAGGATGAAATATTTATTCAAGAGGTGTCGTCTTCACCAGCCTCCAGGATTGAAGTTGTGCAGCTAACACGACTCCTTGACCAACAGCTTGAGGCACGAGGGGCTAAAATGACTGGCATCTGCCCAGTGCGGCGGGAGTTATTTTCACAGGTATAGTACTAGTAACCACCCGAAAATGTATTTTCCGCAAGCTGTAAATACGTCAGTGTATACCCATAATTATGGAAGGGGAGATTTTTACTATGTTGAAATGTATAGTGGGAGTAATCATAACTTGCACTTAGGCGATCAACGCAGTCGATCAGGCTAACAATGCCACCATAGTGACCGCAAATGATTGATGGAAGCGAAATTATGGTCGGTCTGACTAACAGTGCACCATGAAAATTTGCAGTCCAAGGACCAGAAACGTCCCGGAAACTTTGATTAGTACTCGAAGATGTTGTATGCGATTGGCTGAATGAATTCATTAGACTATGATTTGTTAGAATAGGTTAGATATGACTTCTCCACGCCTCTCGACGGCTGGGGTTTGTTAAAACGCCGAAAGGAGCACCTAACAAGTTTTCCAATTAAATATTAGAGTTCACAAGCGACTTCTTCCAGTGTTTTCCTTACCAGGTTTGGCAGAACGATAAGAGGTTTCAAGTAAACTATCCAGCTCTCTACAAAAGCACTGACTGTATTACATTACGTAATTGAAAATCGAGGAGGTTATTTGTTTAACCATTCTAATTAACCGTCGGTGTCATTATAATAATCAAGGCATAGACCCGCATCGGCAGGAGAATATTCAGTCGAATACTGCACTGTGGAGTCTGAATAAAAAGGTACGATCCCACAGCAATTTCTTTATCATCTTAGCGCTATGAAACCAAACATCCTTCCATCATCGGAGACATGTATGCATACGGCCTGGCAAACTGCAGGAATTAGTGCTCAATGGCTAATTAGTGCTTCATTTGCGTGCCAAACCTAGTGTCCAGCTGAATGCGAGGCCGTTAGCATGTCCCACGACCTCGGCATCCTCGAAGACCATAAGTATATTTGCGAAACTTTCACAAGAGTACGCCGCAAATAACGACGAGTTTACCATCTTTCCTACCCGGTGTGATGAACCGCGATCATTTTAAATTAGTTTATGATCATGACACAGTGCGCGTTGAAGAAAGTGCACCAGGTCCGGCAAACGACATGGAAGTTTCGCCTCTGGACCGGGGTACACTGTCCTCATTATTTTACGTAGAATTTTTGTCGCTGGCCCATGTGCAATCTCGATCAGCAGACTTTGCTGACAACGTGCGACCAGATGGGGCGCGCAGCAAAAATATGTTAACGGTAGGCAAAATGATTGTTGACCGCCTTGATCCGCCTTTGGTCCTCGGTCAAAGCTCATCTGTACCCGGAGGCGCTGAGCTCTGTCACTGTTCTTCTCTTCCCGCCGCAGCGAAAATCACATCCATATAACCATATTTTCAAGATGGGCGACAACTATTCTCTCATCTTCGAGCATGGCGGTATTGGCTGCCCTCTTGAGAACAGTCGACTTCCGTGTCTTCTTGCCATTCGGTTATACAATGACTTAGTGAAATTGAAGGTGTTGCCTCGCCCATCATTTTTCGTGTGAAGAGAATTTCCTGGGAGATGAAATTAATGCTTATTTGGAAATGATCACAAACGGCCAGTCCAAATATCGTCATAAAAATTCGGTTTAGATCTTAGTTCTTAAAGGTCAACCTTGATGAGGAATTAAAGGGGGGAACTCACGTCCGACTCCCATCTACATTAACATACGACGAACATAGCGAAGGTAAGTGTTAAAAGACAAAGATAAAGAAAATCGGAATGGTAATTAGGGGTGCATATACCGTCGTTAGGCAGTCATAACCAAACTGCAGGTGGGAAGTCACCAAGTCGACTACTCTACTAGTCAAACCATGGATTCACTTACTCTACCCTCTGTAATCGGGCATATTTGGGAACGCAAAACCATGGCGTTCATTGATTTAGAATCATTATAGAACATATAATGAGCATCCCATTCCATCTTCGCACTTAAATACAGAGTCACCCTAGGCGCTACCATAACAAAAGGTCCCGATGGAAGCGGAGAGGCGTGTTTCAGAAAGCTGTTTAGAAGACGGAGATGCGATCAGTGGAACAAGAAATGCATTGGCCTGACGTTTCGGATTCTCACCCAAACTCATCATCTGACACAGTCGCAGAATGCCCATAAAAGCGACAAATACGACGCAAGTAATAAACTTCCGCAGAAACCGTCCGATCAGTCACAAACACATTTGAGTAAAGGAGCTATACCGGCGCCTTGAGACGCATTGCCGTGGAACGGAAGATAAAATTGCTGAATTACAATATATTCGACGGGTACTGAGAGCCAATGGCTACCCGCGCATTTCTGTCAACCAGTGCATACACAAACAAAACCAGAGACCAAATTCAATCAGCCCTAATTTTTGGCGAGCTTTTCCATACGTGAGGAAAGTCTCGGAAGTTGTCCTTCGTCTTCTCACTCCCCTTTGCATTGGGGTTGCACACTCGCTGGAGGCTACCGTCAGGCGCGAAGTTATGAGGCCGAAAGACCCACTGCCACTGCAGGAAACGCTAGGAATAGTTTACCGGATCTGGTACAGTTTCGGGCAAAGCAACTACGTCGGAGAAATTGGGAAATTACTCTGGACACGAATGGCCGAGCGCACAACAGCGGTGAGGCGGGGAGACGCTAGCTCTCAGGTGGCGGCACACTCGACGCGACCCGGCCACATTCTGAGGTTTAAAGAGGCCGAAATCCTCGCAAGGGTGACAACCGCGTGAGCCGCGAGCTGCTCAAGTCATGGTTCTCAGGCCCGCAATCCATCAACAAGCACAATGACCTCCCGGTACCATATTCCGTTCTGAGGTTTTCCCTGGGCAGGAGAATCAGTCACGTGGGGAGGTTGCGGGCGAGCAATTATCCCAGCGACAGCCCATTTTCCGAGCGATCGTCACACCAACATCCAACACGGATGACGAAATCATGGCAAGTAATGACTCGGACGCGGACTGACAAGTCACTATCGCATCAATTACGACTCCCATCGGTGATCGTGAGTGCTGGTAATTACAGTATGCATATGGTCCCACGGCAGCCATGTGCTATAAATACTGCACTCCTCGTGCCGGCCTAACCTTTATCTGCGACTGTCTCTGATGATGGATTCCAGTGAGAATCCGAAACGTCTCGCCAATAAAATTCTTGTTCAATCGATCGCATAGCGAAGATTGCTAACAGTTAAAAGGTATTCACCGCGAAGACAACCGATTATTTGACCGAACACTTTCTGCAAATATTCCATAATCAGATAGTCAACATGACCTCAATCCCCGCCGGAAGTGCATGGTATTTTAACCGAGTCAAGCCGGACAGTGAGACTAAACCCTTGTCACTAGAACAACGCCTCCATTATCTTTCGTGTGCATTTAGAATATTTAGTCCTGTGAAGCGAATTCTATATGAGATGTCCGTTTTTCCCCTATGCTGTCAACATCCTGAATTCTAGATTGCGTATTGAAGGTCAAACGAGACCGTTGCATATCATCGGGTTCACCACTCCCTCACGTCAGCTGAAGCGTCAAGGACAGATTTCCCAAAAGGAAGTAAAAGGTAGAAAAGGAGATGGCTGATTACGTGGGTAGTGAGGACAATGCCTTCAGAAGCACAGTGTTAGCAGTCAAAAACGATGAAATCGCAATGATTGAGATTCGAAAGATAAGGCGGATACTACGACCCTACGTTGAAGGACTCTCGGTTGCGCCCGTTGCAGCATGAAATCCTGATAGGCTTGCAAACGCCATTTTCAAATAACGCTGCATCTCCCGATCTTGGACAAATTACTTCAATCCCCATATTTCAAGTGGATGGATTTGACTTAAGTGCCCGTTGATCATTTAACTCGTACTCAAACCTTGTATGCGCCGGACTCTCGACCTTGCATGTCTCTGTGCAACAATATCAATCCTTGTAGGACGGTGGAAGATGACAAACCACCAATTGGCAGGGTGATGGGAGAGAGGTTAGAGTAGGTACAGAAATGCCAAACAAGGAGGAGGACGTAATATGATCTATTTCTGAAGTCAAGGGCAGGGAGGGGTGTCAGTCGTGTTTGTTTGTGCTTTGCCCCTCGTTACGCTGAAAGGTAGGATCTGATAATACTTGTAAATTCTCTGCTCTGTTTTTTACCTCTTCATGTCTTAAATATATGTTGCCGATCCTTTGGCAAAGAGATTGGAGCAGAAGAAAAGGTTTTAAGTGTTGTAATGGATTTTGAATTGTTATGCTACAGGTGCATCAGTGATTCTGATGTGGAAGATTGGACGAAGACTCCCCTTATAAATTAGTGCTGGATAAGGACTTCTTGGCTTCCAGACATAAAGAGATCCATAAGGTAACGGTCTGTGTCCGTTTAATAGGTGTCCGAATCCAATTACAATAAATCAGGCGGAGAATTAAGTTCTGATTGAGAGAGAGTCATGTCTTGTCGATTTCAACGATGTCGTATGAAGTACATGATCCCGACTGCCTCCGTATTTCAGCGTTTTTTCAACTGACTAAACTTTAACGGTAAACTCGAGTGAATGACCTCCACCGTTACCTAACCATGCGACAATGAGCTCCGGGGAATCTGTAGGTCACAAGTTAAGCCTCAAGAAACAAAACAATTCGGCCGGCTTTCAGAAAAACAGATCATACGCAACTGACAGTGCTTTTAAACTACTACTCTCACACGAAGCCTTGGTGACATTTTCTGAGGGACGATGTTGGTTCTCGAAGGGCCCTATAAATATGGTTTATCGGTTGCTATTTTTTAGACTCTATGGGCAAACTCTTTGATGAGAAGTGACTTACAGGCGAATAAGCCGGCGCTCCCGAGAATCACGTCATCTACTCGAGAGCGCTTCCCTGATATATGTGTTCTTGGCTGTTTGTATTAGTCTCAATCAAGTACGGGTCTTTTCCGCTGCTTTCTTGCCAGGGATTAAATTGAACGGTGATTATGACACAACAACCCCTCCAGCGTGTACTTTGATATTACCACGTAGTGCTTACAGAGATTGTGTCATATCCGGCGGACGTCCACTTATTTCACATACAGGCTTTGATCCAATCTGTAACGGGTCTGTCTGCAGGAAAATGTCAGAAGGCGTTTTATCGACTATAATCCTATTTGCATATGTTGATAACAGGAAGAGAAGAAGAAAAGACAAAAAATCCGCCCAGAACTGTTTCTAAAGTACGGTTTTGAATAAATTGATCCACAGAGTTACAATTTCAAATTCTGTCCTTGGAACAGGCCTAGAAAAACTTGTGTGTAAACCGGGGCGCGGAAATTCTAGGCCGTGGCGAAGTACCGAACTCTTGCATCATAATGTCTAGGACACTCCTGCCAAATTCAAACGGTACCACTGTCATTAAATTCAGTCAGATGATGCATGAGGCTCATTTTATGCAGTTATTTTTGGAGAAATTGCCTACTTTCCGAGGAAATTTTATAAAGCGGATGGTATCATGAATTGAAAGTATTATCATTTTGAGAAATGAAATATCAATAGTGATAAAATCTTTATTTTACAAACGATGTTTGTATGTGAAATTAAATATGATAGGTGGTATTTTCAGTGCCAAAAGCAATGTTTTTGCAGGAGCCTTGCTAACAACAGTGAATACAAAATGAACAAGTGCTGGGTTTCATATGAAAATTTTCCTGCATGCATATGAACAAATACGAGTCAATTCCCCACAAATATCGGTTTTTCGGACTAGCTGATATATTTATTAGTTACGAAAGTATAAGTAATGATTTCAGCTAATGTTTTTTTCAGTTTCCATCTCTCCGCTATATGTGTTTCAGTTATGTCTCATCACAAACGCCACGCTGTTTTCAGGTTTTTGACGAACTCATTCGACAGCTGACCATCCACTGTGCTGAACGTGGCCTCCTTTTGTTGCGAGTCCGCAACGAGGTTGCCACAACAATAGCAGCACTCCAATCAATCTACGCCTCGGGCGTGGTCTTTGGTCTGCAGAAGTCCCTGGCCCGGGAGGCGGATCGTAACCGCCAGGAGAACCGAGTGGTGGAGCTGGAGAACGAGATTGCACAGCTGAAGAAGCGCGTAAAGGTGGAGGCGCTTAATTCGCGCGCACTGGAGGAGAAGGAGGCCAATCGCCTGGCCGCCGCTACGCGGAGGGCTGAGGAAGATGTGAATTTTTTGCGGAAGGGCCACGAACAACTGAAGGCCCAACTGGAGGATATTCTCAACCAGTTTAAAATATCGGCAATCTAGGAGGAGAGGTGCTATCGACACCTGCAGGCTATGAACTAAATCAAAGGAAGACTTAGGTGTTGTTGTTGACAATAAAGGCTACTCAAAATGAATAGTTGTTTTTTAAAAGTCTCGGATCAGGTATTTTTAAAGTACACTTTTAAATTCAACCTTAGTCAATTGATTTTTTGTCGTGGCGCTTGAGATTTAAAGCCAGTACTTAAAAGCTGCGCATATTATAAATAGTGAGCTATATTTCAGCTCATATTTCATGAGATTTCATGACTTTGCTGTCAAACACAGAGCATAAACAGGGCCCTTCACGAGTATTTAGTCCAAACGGAGATAGTTTTTCGGGAGAGGGGAACCCAGTGAGCAGGAAATGTTTTACGTTCATTGTTATACACCTTACACAGACGTCGGAGGAACAAAACTGTCGGAAATATACTCAATCCAAGAGCTTCTTCTAGCGAAATAATTGGAATTGAGAATTAATAGAAGGGGTATGCTGCTCGAATCGTTAGGAACTGGTTTTTTAGGGCAATCAGCAGCCAATGCAAAAAAAATTACGAAGTTTGCGAGAGTATGTGCATACACAAACTCACTCAAGAGACAAGAAGAAACGAGGGCAGCCATCCGAGCTGTCAAATCAAATCAGACAGCATTTTGACCCCTTATAAACATAAGTATAAATTTTTTTGGAGACGGGTGGCTTACAGAAAATATGAGACAGAGGCATGGACGTAGGAAGAACTGGTTTATTTCAAAGATGTGGCGGAGGACACGGGATGCAACTTCTACCTATTTAAGATCGCATTATAAGTAGGAAACAGGGAATATGCATCCACTACAGGCCAAACGCAAACGAGGTTGAAGTCGGCTACTCAATTCCGTGCAGATTAGCCCAGTGAGTGTACAAGTCAGGGGACATGGAAAATGAGAACCAAGCTCCTCGAAATAGAACTAGTGTTCGACGAGGCATGCCACTGTTTTTTGTGGCTGCTCTTACCCCGAAGCAAATTCACAAGTTCGGTATTGCCGCCACAGTGATAATTGTACTATACAAGACAGCGATAGGGTTAATTATGACGCAGGAACCCGACGCTGATCATTCAACGGGTTAGCAAATTCCCTCATCGCCTACAAAAATTTGCACAGACAGTACGAAGAACTCGACCAGTCACCTGAGTGAGGACTGCCACAACGAGCAACACAGTCACTGGGACGCGGCACCGATCTGGTCAGCCAATAGGCCAAAGTAGACGGTTGTTCATGCTTCTGCCTCGAAAACCTTATAGGTAGACTCAGGTAAGGGGCTAAAGACTTGTAAATTTGTGTTCATATGCGCTGGCAGTTTCATGTCGTTTGTCCTTTCGTTCTGGTCATAGGCGAAAGTAACTGTAGGTGAAGTTCACACATTAATTTAGATGGGTACGGCTAATGACAATACTTTATGTACCTAAGCCGATGCACGAGTCATAGGAAGCGTTCCTGCTCAAGCAATAACTTTTTATTTATGAGGATGTCATCCCCTTAAAGCAAATGAAGCTAGCACCCAGTATATCACGCCTCAGTTGTACCGTCTGACGTGGAAGTGTTGACTTTCTACTTAAAAGTCAACTGTGCGGACATTTTGTTACTAAGCCTATCATCATCGCCATAAGCATCCGGTAAGATTTGGCCAGAAGGTCATGTTGAAACAAACAACGAGAGAAATTACATACGTGGACACTTATTGGAGGAGTCCTCAAAAAGGGATCATACGGAGTTGTCGAGGCAAGCGGCACCAGAAAAAAAGCAGTCATGACTGCTGCCTTCATGTTCAGTGACCCGCTGAGTTTTCCGCCGTCTCTGTGACTTGTCAGTCAGAGCATTCAAATATTCTCTGCACGCCTTGAGGCCAGCTATCCCTCAAAAGTGACAGATTCTCCGGTAAACAAAGACTAGAAACCCTGAGGGCTTGACAACAACTTTTATTTCTCCGATAGTATTCAATGACCACGGGATGAAGTAGGATTTTAGGCGGCTTTTTCTAAAAAAACGGAGGATCTAAGTAGTTCACGTAAAGCATATCATTACTGTGAGGTAGCAACCTAAGTTGCTGATCGTTATTTTTGTTATCTTAAATACTTGTTGCCATGTCTAAATGTGAAGCATGTCCCAATTCTAAAGAGGTAAAATTAGAAAACGAAATGAATCTTGAATGGTCATTTCCAGTTTATATGCTAATCGTATGCGATAGAGTACTAGACCGTGATGAAGCAGGCACAGCATTCACCTCAAAGACCTTTTAGTTTAGTGTTCCAATGTCAGGTTTTCCGAGCTTCGCTTCAGATAGGATTGGCAGTTGACAGAGTGAGCGTCCGCATTGGCTATTTTGGTCTCAAGCAAAATGCGTCTTGCTTGATGTTTGCCTGTCATTATTTAAGTGCTGGCGAATTCCTCATATGCCCGATTTCCCAGGCGAAATGATTCATCCCTTATTCTGTTCAACTGTCAGTCTAAATCGTGGACGGTAAGCAGAGGCGTCGTCCAGTGCTGAAGGAAGCCTGTCTGTGTTAGTAATGTCCCAGCCCCAGGCCACATTAACCTAGCATATATACTAAGGTAGAGGTTCCCATAATGCGTTTGTTGAGATACAGAAGTTACGTTTGGCATAACTTACGTCACCTAGCGGCGGGCTGGTAGCTCTCGTTTGCGGAAAAGTGCGATGTGCATAAGCCGAAGAGGCAAAATGGATATCATTGCTAAATAAAGCATCTCGATACAAATATACTAATGTGGTACTTGTGCCTATGAAGGCAAAACATACTTTTGTCCCAATTTATAGTATATCCACATCAGAAAGTTCAAGGAAGCAACTAAACGACATCATTAAACTACGGGAAATGGGACGCACTTCGAAGACTCATGAAGAATTAATAACCACGCAGCATAATCCCAAGTTATTTCAGTTACTTCGGGACTTCAGCTTTTGAGCGAACTTTGTTCTGACAACCTGCAAAAACTACACTCTGTAAAAAATGATTACCTATGTAATATGAATTTTTCTCACTGATTTCCTTTGCCCTTATAAATTCAAATACATTTAATAAAAAACATGGGGAAGAATATTTATTCTTTTATTCATTTAGAAAATAATTACATCATTCTCAAATTTTATACGTGAAGGAAGGCTACAATTCGGGTTTAAAAAACTTTTCAAATTCCTGAATAATTTTGAACCCGACTTGCCGTTACACTTGTCTTCAGGGTTTCCAAACTAAAAGCTGTGTGTTGTCCGTGTACGAAAAATCATATATTTCCATATGTTATTAAGAGACGACCATATGTGCTTCATAAAATTTAGCAGTAGATTTGAGCCATGTTTTAAACTTTATAAGAAACATGAGTTAATGCATATACACGATGTTTCATAAGCGGTCGTTTCACAGTCTTTACAAATCTCGTAATTAGAAACTTTAAAACAGAATTATGCCCTCCCTTTAAGTACAAAATTTAAAGATGTGATTTTCTTTCAAATGAATAAAATCATAAATATTTTTGTCCACGTTTCTGATGAAATATATTTGAATTTATAAGAGTATGGGAAACCAATGAAAAATTCACACCAATTAAGTGGTCATTTTTGCAGTGTAGTTTTTGCAGGTGGCATGCCGAAGTAACTAAAATATCTTGGCATTTTGCCTCATGGTGATTAATATTAAAACCCTATATAGGTCATCTTTTTGAGTCGAAAGCGCATTTCAAAATTTCGGTTGATATCTAATGAGTTAGCACGCCTACAGTATATGCAGCAAAACTCAGGCAGTTCAATAAGGGTATGCTAAAATGAGAAAGGGTGACGCTTTACTTTAACTTAGAGGATTGGGGCGAATTTTATTGAAGTCTTATTTTTTCTCAGATGGCTTATTCAGAAAAATTTATCGACACAGCGCATTACGACGTGCCACATCCTGGAAATCCGGTATCTAACTCGAACAAAACTTATTGTCAAAAGGCAATTCCAGGCAGTGGTTTTTAGAGTGCCGCCCACTATGATAGACGAAATGTCAAGTCAGTAATGCAGGTTACACGATGACTTATCGTTGCAAGGTGAGTTTATTCTGTTCAGGTTTGTATATTTACATTCAACGGTTTAGGCATGCAACATTCAATTTTTATGGGTCATTGATGTTGCCAATTAGTCCTGTTAACGTAATCTGCAGATGACATGTCGGTAAGCAATCATTTTTCAAGTCCCATTAGGCTGCAATGATGTTATATTATAGGAATGTTCTGTTAATCAAGAATGAAAAACGGTGGCTAACAATCAGCACAGATGCTGAATAACCCAAAGAATTTTTGTTGGCCTGACCTAATTCTAAGCATACTCTGCATTTAAGACTAACTGTGGAATAGATGCACGAATGGTGCTAATTAGTATAGGCTGTTAAAATGACCTAAGACTTGAAAAGGTGGAGCCATTTAAGGGCCCCTATAAGCGTCTGCCCGAAGATTTGAAGCTTTCTCCTCAGTATTACTCATAAAAACATACATCGCACTCCTTAAATAGTAGTTTGGCCATGGTGGAATGGTGAAATGGGGTGAGCTTTTGGAACTGACGGTCACAGAGCATTCCCATGCCGTCTTCCTCTACAAGTGGATTATAATGTGTACCTCGGCTCATTGCTGGCATTGGCCCTGCCGTCTGTTTTAGTCATGGTCCTTTGACTCACGCTTACGTTCTCCTCTAGCCCACACTATATGTTAACATGAAATGGCAAATCTAGGAGGAGAATGCCAAAGGTTGGCCAAGATAACGGACTTCTTTGCATGAGCAAGGTCTACTGTTCTGTTGAAAATATGGGTAGCCTCCGAGAGGATGGTTTGTTCTGAAGATGCCTAGTGCTCTATTTTTGTATTTGGCAAATAAGAAAGTTTAGACAGGGTAGTTGATTGTTCCATCGCCTCTTTCTTCCCGCGAACAGAACGTTCACGGATAAAAATCCAAAAGTATCTTGAAACTTGTGACAAGTTTC